TTCTAAACATTGACAGCTGACAGTTTTTCCACAAATTACGAGAAGAAATTAATTACGACGGATCATTTGTGAACTGTTATGGTTGCGTCTTCGATTTTAGAGAGCCTAAGCTTGCGTTTTATGTTTTGTTTAAGTATAGTTTACGTATATAAAGAATATTTCAATTTCGTTTACGTTAGTAATAGTGCCAGTAGTGAGTGCATAATTTCGCGCAAACTATAGTGAATATTAGATTCAGATTTATTTGCGAACGTAACTGATAGCATTATCTTTGAAATATGTGCTCCTGGAGTGCAAATTAGTAGCGTGAAAATTTAAAATTAATTATTCCCCTTATATGGTTATAGAGCGTTTAGTTCCACCGGTCTGCCACAACGCGGCGCTAGTATTTCTTACCCCGTAAAACAGAGAAATTTTCATTTGCGAAAAAACCTAGTTTAGCAAGATAAATTGTGAACTTTTGTGATTGTATTACCCTAATTAGACTCTTAGCTTTCTTTTCATGCCCCATTTGACCCATAAAATGCAGAAATAAGTATTTTTATAATTAATTAGTACCACAGAGTTATCGCTAGATGGCGCCACCATGTCCATTTTGACAGTTCGCACTAATTACTAGAAAAATCTTATTAAGAGGAATAATTTGCGAACTTTTTTATATGCCTCCTTAAAATTAGGCTCGCCGCTTTCTTTCTATGTATGTTTTGTTTTAGAAAAACGTGTGTGTAAAAGGTTGAATTTTTTTTTCAATGGATCGAAGGTTGAATTTTTTTTCAATAGCGTCATTAGACAAGGAGGGCACTAGCGTGCGACAAGGACAGACATGTCTGTGTGGTAGACAAAGAAAGCAACAGCGTGCGACAAGGACAGACATATTCGCGCGGTGGACAAACAGGGCAACAGTGTACGATAAGGACAACAATATAAATTGGTTCCGGTACCTATTCTGCTATTATATTTTGTAGATTAATTTCGTATTATTTTTAATATTTACAATTGTGTTAAGTGACTTGAATACTTTAGTAACTATTCAATATTAGAAATGAATAATTTTTTAACGTTTTGTGTATCTTGGCCGGTTTAAAATTGGTATCCACTAGATATTTAAAAAAAGAATTATGTTAATAACAGCAAATAAAAATGAATGATATGTGCCTTGTTTGAGTCTGTGGATTAGTTAATTTATCGGCAAAGTAGAAATTCATCGATAAAGTAGGAATACAAATCAATCGATAAAGAAGTAAGTGTAGATGGCAGCACGTAATTCGTCTGCAGACCTGAAGCGTAATAGTGTACTACAAGCAGAAATAATATATCGCAGTAGTATACAATAAAGATAGTGATTAATTCCACCCGTACCACCATTTTACTGCTCCGTGATGATAGTATTTCACTATCTATGAATCGATCACATTTTCATTTGCAACAAACACCAATTAAGAGGAATTATTTGTGATCTTTCATAGCTGCTTCTGTTTAGTCAGTGTTTCTTTCGTTCTTTCTTTCTTTCTTTTTTCTTTCTTTATCTTTTTAGATATTTTACCCCATTTGACAGATTATTTTTATTTAATTTCTTATCTGTCGAAACTAGTAGAAAACTAGTACGCTGTCATCTGCCGGCAAATAAATAAATCTACTATTTAAAATAAACATGTATTTTCTATCATTTAAAAAAATTCGAAATATAAAGAGCAGTTTCTTTTTAAATAGTGACAAAAGAAATTTAGTATTTTATTGATAAAAATATCTTCTTACATTTATGAAATAAATAATCTGCTAATTGTTTCACTTGATAATTATATTTCTTAATGTATGTCAGATACATTTGACATAATACTGTTTGACTGATAATTTAATGTAATAATTTACATATCTGTAACTCTGTACAATTAATATAGAATTGTTTTTTTAATTCTACTTGAATGCACTATTGTGTAAGAGTCACTGATAATCGTACTTATTTAATTACTATTAACTGCTGATTATAGTTGTACGAAGTCTGCATTTCCATTATATATCGTAGAAAATTTTAATTATAGATAAAAATTTTATATCTCTCAATTTCTCAGGTTTTACTGAGGAATTGTTGAGAAAAGTATCTAAGTTGATGACAGTAGTACAGATCTCCGACTTCATTCTTGTAAACATTGTGTTTGGATTTATGAAAGTAATTGTTTTTCCTATCTGAGATTCATCAGAGTGCATTTTATACAAAACATTCAATTGATTAAGTTGTTTGATTGCAAAATCAATCGAAGAACTCTCAAATAATGTGTAATTTTGTATGTGTATGGATACGACAATCTTGGTTGGTGAGTAACTCTGCCATTAAAATCATTTTACATATTTAACAAATGTACGATCGAGCGTTGTAAAAATCTAAGTAAAACAACATTTATTGAAACTTGCCAAATATTATTCTTATAGAACAGCGTGTAATCAATTGTATTACTCAATAAATTATTGTACAACGCATTATTTACCACTGTCCTACGAAATATCGGAAGATATTAGTTAGTATAAAACAGCTTTTGTATTTTTCAATATAGAATTTATTAATAAAATTTATCGAAATCGTTTTTGCACACAGTTTACAATGTTGTTTTATTCGAGTCAGAAAAGAAAAGATTTAATAAGTTTATTTTCGTCTGATTTAAGTAAGGTTATGATAATTTTAAATATTTTTTTAAATACGATGTTTAATAAATAGTAAGACTGTAAATCTTCTGTTTGTATAGTTTGATAGTTTAAACTCAGTCCTTTTGGATGACAAACATACATTTATTGTTTTCTAATTGAGTATTTTATTCGTAATATATTTTTAAATGTATTTTGAGCATCGATGATAGTAATTGTTTTTCATCAACAGGACAATCCATGACTTCTTAGATAATCGTAATAGCCTTGGAGTTTTACCATGGAACAAATAAATGAAGTGCATAGTGATACTAACAAAACAGAATTGATAACATTAGATGTACCTTCATTAGCATCAGAATCAAATACTGATAATGTAAAGAATGAGGAAGATATTTCAGAAAATCAAGAAGACAAGCCACAGAAATGTACAGATATTATAATTCAGAATACTTTATCAACAAATGAATATGATGCAACAGATTCAAATAAAAGAATTGAAAGTAAAGAAAGTGTTGCAGAAAGCATAGATAATGCTATAATTAACGAAGTGACACAAAAAATAACAAAGAATGATGTGCAAATCCATGATCAGTGTAAAAAAAATGAGAAATCTCAGGAAGAACAAACAGAGAAGACAAATGAGATTGAAGATAATTTAAAATGCATTGAAAATACATCGTTGCATAAAGAATGTACAAACAGTGAAATACTTAATACAAATGAGGCTGAACAAAATTATGATGAGAAACAAAATGTTTGTACAGTATTAAATATAGATACAGTTGATGACACTAATGCTCACTGTCAAGCATTAATTAAAACACTTAGTGAAACCTTTGATGATAAAGACCAAACATTACATGTTACAGATACAGAGGCAGATTTGTCTAAACTAGTTGATAGTAATTCAGAAGTAATGGTACTGACTGTAGAAACTATTAATGATTTAAATGAAAGTACAGAAGAAAATATTGTTGTAACTGTACACGAAAAGGACACTGTTGTAAATTCCAATGAAAATAATGTTTCTGTAGAACAAAAAGAAATAAAGAAAACTGAAGTTGTAAATGAAGGATTTAATTTAATAGATTATGCTCAAGAAAGTGATGGAACAATTATAGAAGTGATTTCAACAGAAATTGTGGATTCTGAAATTTGTGAAAATTGTAACCAGCAAGGCAATAAGGAAGTATTAAATCATACAGAACCAGAAAAAGATTCTGTAACTCCTATTACTTCAGAAGTAATTAATAATCCAGAAACTATGGATGATGTTAATATTAAAGAAGACAACATAAAGATAGAGGACAAGAATACTGATGAAAGATATAATGTAGAACAAGAAAAAGTAAATGGAAATAGCAAGACTGAATCTTTTGATAGTTCACATAAAATTAATGTAGAAAAGAAAATTATTCATAATAAAATTACCTTACCTACATATGTCACGAATACAGAAGGAGAAAATAAATCTATAAATGAACCGGGTAAAGTGGGGACAACTAATAAAAGAAGTGTAATTCAAGATATCTTCGATGACTGGGGTGATGAAAATATAGAAGATGATAATCAGTCTAAAACACCAGATACTGTAGAAATTGAATTGAAAAGTTTATTAAATGACACAAAAACACAAACAATAGAAGAGAGCACAGTTGTGCTACTTGAAGAAGAAATTACGTGTATTGAGAAAGAATCGGTTGTAGATAATGGAAAGATTATAGAAGTTGCTACACAAAATAAAGAAATACAAATATCAAAGGAACAAATGGATAACAATCAAATAACAAAAAAACAACAAAATAGTATGAAGTCATCACTTAAAGAACAATTAACTTATTCTATATCACAGGCAGTTGGAAAGCCTACAAAAGATTCAATACACGATACTGTTGCATTTAGTCAAACTTCATCGTCACAGGTTGTGCCTACTAATCGTCGTAATTTAACCAATCAACCTTCGCCAGTCGAAATAGCAGAAGCACTAAAAGAACGACTCCGCGAAAAGCAAAAAGTAGTAGAACAACCACCACGACCTGATATAGTTTTTGTTAAAAAACTAACCCAGAGATTATCAAGTAAACTAGTAGGTAGTCCAGGAACTTCTTTACCAGCACTTATACCATTACCTCAATCTATTAATCAATCCCAACTTGATAAAAAACTGGTAGATAATACTAATACAGAAACTAACAAAGAAAGTAATTCTGATAATAAAGAATTGTTGGCAATATTAGAAGGTGATGTTGATCCAGATTGGTCTAATTTGAAACCACCAGTTTTAACAGAAGAAGGAAAACGTTCAGTAAAGATTGAACAAAGTGGTTATAATACACCACCAAAACTTGATCCTTTAGTTGAAAGAGAATTAGCTTTGAAACAACTTCTGGAATTACCAATTACGCCACCTAAAAAAAATGTACAGAAGAAGAAGAAAACACCTATTAAAACATCTAAAGCAGTGAAAAAAGTTATGTCCAACATAGAAAAAGAAATAACTGAAACTAATCCAATAAATGAAATTACGGAATCTATAGAGAATAAAAATCCTTCTGATACTGCTTCGTCTTCTTTATTTATTGAATTTCATACTCCAGAAAAGAAAACAGATGTACAAGATGTACGATTAGATGAATCAAGATCAGGCAGAAAACGAAAACTTACAGAAAAAGCTAGAGAACATGAACAACAACAAAATATTGTAAAACGTCAAAAAATATATAAAGGAAAGGTTTCACCAGGCAAGAAACAACCTCAAGAACAAAATTTAGCTGATATTAATTCATTAACTGAAAATCATATATCTAAGGAAACTATAGTACTTGCTAATGACGAGGCTACAAGAACAGATGAAATAACAAATAAACATGTCACAAATAATAATAAAGTAGATGTAGCATTAAACAAACTTGATGACACACAAAATGTATGTAATTTAAAACTTTTGAAACAAAATCTTAGTAAAAAAGGATCGCAGTCTCCTGATAAACAAAATATAGTAGTAAAAAAGATATTAAAAAATATACCTTCTAATAAAAAAACTGTTGCTGTAAAAAATAAATTAGGCACATCAAAGAAATCAGGGTCAAAGATAGTTCCAAAATCAAAAAGATCTACAGAAATCTCTATTGGAGATCCTAAACCAAAAAAGAAGATCATAAACGAAATAGATAGATTACTTCAAGATGAAGGTGTTGTAAATTTATTATACGATGTAGAACAACCTGATAAAAAAAGATTAGTTCCCATTACTAAGTCCCAAGCAAAAGTTATGGATATACAAAAAGTACAACGTGAACTTAAACTTAGAAAAAGGTTAGTACGTAATGCAGTTTTAAGATTACGTACTTCAACAACTGGTGTATCAAAAGTTTCTCCAAGATCTAAAAGAACTTCTTTATATCCAAATGATATACAAGTAGATAAAAAACTTGGAGATCAAACTGCATCAACAAAACAAATGAATTTAACATCTCAAGAGTTTATTTTACCTGCAAAGATAAGAAATGCAGCAGATGCATCTGTTATAATTAGGAGACATTCATCTAGTTCATTTTCTAGTGCATCTGGAAGTCCTAGAGTTAGTATTGATAGTCCAGAAAAGAATGAAGTTATTAAAGTTGATGAAGGAGGATCCCATTCTTTAAGGTCTACAAAAAGACGATATTCACAAGATGAAAAAGTAAATATAAAAAAAAGTAAAAAGAAGACGATACAGAAAAGTGATACAGGAAATGATCTTGATACTCTAGAAAATAAGATTGTATTTCCGGGACGTTTCAATAAAAAAATGGATTCAAAAAAGCCTGATAAAAATTCCAAACAGATAGAAACAGATGAAACTAATAATGATTTAGGAAAAATTATTACAAGATCAAATGGTACAACTACAGGTAAAGTAACATCAAAAACAAAGAAAACTACAAAGAACAAAGTTACATTTGCTAAAACAAGTGAATCAGAAAACAATGAAGAATTTTGCAAAGAAGAAGATAAACTTTCAGCCTGTCTTGCAGAAGCTGCAAATGCTCTATCAATAGTCAATGCTGGAAATCGAATTATAAGTTCAGCAGCAAATCGTAAAAATAAAGGTAAAATAATTGAAAAGAAAAATAAAAATATTTATGATAAATTTTTGTATTTAGAAAAATATTTACATTTTTATGTAAAATATACTGTATAAATATACTTATTTTTTAGCCAATGTGAATATCACTAAAACATTGGAAGTGGATAATAATAAAACAAAAATGGAAACTCGAAGTCAATTTAGTAATAAAGAAATAAATATACGTCGACATGGAAATCTTGTGCAATTAATACTTACACCATCATCTTTAACAAAAATAAGAAATGCTCTAACTCTCCAGGTAATAAAATTATGGTAATAAATTAATATTTAGTACTTTTAATTCTGTTATAAATATATTATTTTATTTATATAATAATATTTTATTTGTTCTTTTAGGTGATGCAAGAATTTCGCGAGACATTATCAATTTTGAAAAAAGATGATGATTGCAAAGTAGTTTTATTAACATCAACAGGAAGTAGTTTTTGTGAAGGTCTTGAATTATCTATGTTATTGCATACAAATAAAGAAGAACGGCGAATGCATGCCCAAGAAATGGCAGATGCAGTTAAGTATGTACTTATCCTTGTAAATATCATATCTGCACGTTACATATATTTAATTAATTAAAAAATTCATTTTTTTTATGCTTAGGGACTTCATTAAAAGTTTAGCATCATTTAACAAACCTATTGTTGCTGGAGTTCAGGGAGCTGCAGTTGGACTTGGAGTAACAATGTTGCCTTTATTTGATCTTGTGATAGCTAGTGATAAAGCTACATTCAGTACACCTTATGGTAAATTAGGACAAATTGCTGAAGGTGCTGCTGTATTCACTTTATCGCATATATTGGGAAGTGCAATTGTAAGTATATTAAACATTATATTTTTTTACGTTAATTAAGATTTTTATATAATAAAAGTAATACTAAATTTGATTTGCAGACAAGTGAATTATTATTAGGTGGAAGAACATTAACAGCTAGTGAAGCATTAAGAGCTGGTCTTGTTACTCGAGTTCTGTGGCCTGATAGATTTCAAGTTGAATTATTACCGACATTAAAAGCTATGAGTGAACAATCTTCACAAGTATGTATTTTATATTAGTTAGTATATAATATAAGTGTTATATAATATAAGTGAATGTAAAATTATTACTTATGAAGTTGTGCGTTACACATTCTTAAATGGGATACAGTAACCTTTATGAGCAGAACCAGAATAAAGTAATTCTTGAACATTTTCCTTGTTTCTATCTTGAAAAATGCATAAATGATTTTCTGGGCATAATAAATGCATAAATGATAGTATGTTGAGTACAAATCAGATCGTATATGTCCACAAAATTCATGAGTATTGCACATTCTCTTCTATATGAAAAAATATATTACATTTTTGATAATGTGATAATATAATAATTGCAAACATTTACTTTTACACATTTGAATGTTTGTGTAATAAAATCATTTTCCAGATATGTATATTTTTGAAGCCTCCAGTAATGTGACTCTTGGCAATTATACTTTAACGTTACATTATATGGTATTAGATAAGAATTGTTTCTATCACTTTTACCATAAACATTTATTGCTTCTTGATTATATTTATATATATTGAGTTGTGTTATGGGAACACAAAACTGTAAAAATAAAAAAAATGGTAATTGTTAAATATAGGTCTTAATGTTGGTTTCAAGGTTTCAAAAATTTATTTATACACACTTTCATGTGCGATTTATTATTAAGCGAAATAGATAAATTCCCAAGTTCTCTTGTCCATTGCCAAGGACAAGAGTATTGTTCTTTTCCATTAGAACAATAACAAAATCTTTCTGTTAAACCAGATATCCAAAATTGGTTATGAATTACATTACATACTTCGTTAATTTCGCATTTATGTATATCACTTTCTCCATTAATCTGTATTAATATGCATTATATATTCTTTTTATATATAATATTTTATATTAATATATGATATAATATTTTATAATTTAATATTTATATATCATTTTTTATATATAATTGGATATACATACACCATCCAAATACTTGAATGTAGTACTATTTAATTTACTGCTAATTATAACATAAGAACTAAAACATGTAGTTATCGTGAATAATAGGAAGTAAATTAAAATAAACATTTTTACATGTACTAAATAATATATAGAATCAATGTTAGAAAATAGACTTTTGCACTCTCATCAATAATGTATATAAAACTAATTAATATTTATACCATACTGAGTTCTGTTTATTTAATCTCTTGTTTATTCATTTTCAGTCTATGGAAGCTACAAAGGCATTGTTACGTCATAGTTTGAGAAAAAAATTGGATGCGGCATTAGAATCAGAAACATATTTGCTGATACAACATTGGTGTTCTGTAGAATGTCAAGCTGCTATAAAAGCTTACATTGATGGAAAAGTCCAGTGAAATTTAAATGGTAATACTCTGTTTTATCTGTACATCTGTTTTTAATCATTTGTAACTTATATGCTAGAAAAAAAATAACGAGAATATTAAGCATGGATGAGACAATTATTTTCATGAAGTATTAAATATGACGGTAGTAATTTTATAGTACATACATATAACAATATGCAAAGTGTAAATACATGTTTGTCATTGTTATATATAATTTGTATATGAAATTATATAATATATTATTTCTTTAAAAAAGGAGATTGTTTCAAAATTAGTTTTCACATTTATTATCTGTTATTCTATTATTAAACATTGTATATAAAATTATAATTCATTATAAATGATATTCAAAACACAAAAATAATAATGAGTTAATTAAAATATCTTCTAAAAAGACTTCAAAAAATTCAATTGTGTGCTATAGATGCCTACTGATTTTGAATGGAAGTACTAACGTCAAATTCCATACGTTGTAAATTGGATTTGAAGATTAATAACGAGATAATTAATTTGAAGAATACAAGAAAAAAAATCACGGATCTGGTGTGTCATTTTATATCAGCCAACGCACGATTATTATAAATGCGATTATTATATATAAAATATAATAATTATCCGGATGAACTATTTTAATATTAGATGATTTAGATATATGGATTTACATGCACGCATGATCATACACAAAATATTTCATGTTATTGTTTTGAGTAATTTTTAAATTATGCTTTACCTAAAAAAATATGTACAGGGCATCCACAAATTTATTGTCTGGTGTTTTTTCTCGTAAACAATAGATGGAAAAATGAAAAAGGCTAAAGTACTCTTTTTTTCTATATGCAATGTAATGATACGTAATCGTTGAATTCATCTTCATATTCGCTTTCATATAATATAAAAAAATAAATATAACATTCCATTTAAAAAAATTGAAGGTTACTTTCAGTTCTCAAAAAGCAGTATGACTAGAAAAAATTTCTATTACATTGCGTACAGAAAACAATATAACTTTATCTTCTTTCATTTTTCCATAGCATCAATCGAAAAAGCTGGACAGTAAATCCGTGAACACCTTGTATTTTCTGTTTTATTCAGAAACAGAAAATATATAGAACATAATCGATTTTGCACAATTTAATATTTTGTGTAAAAAAAGAAAAGAAAAAATAAATGGCGAAAAAATCATTAAGTAATGCTTAAATATAAAGAAACTCATGATATAAATGCTTGGATTATCCAAGACGATAATATATTACGCATCTCATTTTGTATATGTGTGTGTATGTAAATTTTTTTATAGTATATCATTATTGTAGAATAAAATAAGAAATGACCATTGTAAGCATTAGGGTGAATTTGTGTTCTTTGCACACATCAATAAATTTTGAACAGAATGTAATCTTAAATTACATATTAAAACGTAATTTATACTTCTTTTATACTTGACATAATGTTGTGCCTTGGTCAATTTATAAAAGAATAAGAAATATAGATATAGAAAGAAGATATTTGTAATTACACTCTGGAAAAAGTACAACAATTGACTGATGATTAAAATAATTTTAAATATATCAAATTGTTTTTAAATAATTTTTATTCAATTTGTTGATAACGTACATGATTATATATTTCAGATTGTTTATTTCTATTATTAGTTATATATACTTCAAATATCAACATATATACATAAGTATTTTATATGTATGTATTGCTTTCAACAATACAATCATATTGGATATATTTTATGTCAAAAAGCAATTAAATTATTTTATGATACAAATAATGTATTTTACTTCAAAATCATGTAAATCATAAATATAAAAAATATATAAAATAGTTATTTTAAAATAACGTAGCGTTATAGACAAGTTCAAAGAAGGGCCATTCCAGAAAATGGACTTATAACCTTCCTTGAACTTAATGTATGAGATTTAAGGATCATAAGGGGCTATGAAATAAGACTCAAGGCAACATTGAGAAATTTCATTGAATACTGTTCAAAAACATGGAGTATGTTGTAAAGAATACAGTCGCTCTTGTACAAATGTTACACATGTAAGAATAAGCCATTCTAAAACATTGTATTATCATTGAATATAAAGCCCATACAAATATAAAGGAAATATTCACAAGCCAATTTATGTTTAGTATGTATTAAAAATATATAATCACCTATGTTTGTGCACGCACAGGTGCACGTATGTATGTAGTATATATTATATTTGAAATAGTAGTAAATATTTTTAACTGCATTATAATATTAGTTTCTCTTTTATCGATAGGCAACTTTAGGCATATCTTAAACGCGAATTATACATTGAGAAGTTGAAAAGTTTAAAGTTATGAACATCATAAAACAATTAACAAAAACTTTATTAATCGCTTTACAGGGGCAGCTATTTCTTATAGGATCGGCAGTCTGGACGTTTCATCAGAAAAGTCCTATTTCTTTTTTAAGGTTCACTTGTTTCCAAACTGGAAGTTCTTGAAATTCTTCTTTAGTCATACCTAATATTTCCTGTTAAAATACATAATATATGTATCTCTTATTAAAATTCACTTATTAGTAATAGTTTACAAAATATACTTGAAAATGTTGTTGAGATAAATACAACTCCAAGTGTGTAGGATCAACTCCTTGTGGTAATGGTCGTTGTAATAATTGAGCCGGAGGATACGTACTTTGCGTTAACCGAACTAACTCATTCTCTACAGTCAATACCTCTCCAGGATTTCGACCATCCTAATTACAAACTATCTGTTTGAATCATAATTTTAATACTTCTAAAAAATGTAAAAATACCTCTATATTTAATTCCGCTATATCATCGCGATATGTCCATGTAGGAAATAGATTTATAAATTGTAAAGGTTCAAGACCAGCCCAGACTAGATAAATCGGATATTTATTAGTTTCTGGATGAATTCTTTGCCAATACTGCATAGCCATCATCATTGCTGCTCTTCTTTCAGCTTGCCATCTGACAGCTTTACTACCGGATTGGTCCTCTGTTCCAGTATTGGGCCACCAGCCTTGCCATATCCATAATTCGTTTTTGTTATCCAACAAAAATAAGGCTGTAATGATAGTTTAATCAGTTTATAATGTAAATAAAAAAAGTTTTTGATTCTTTATTAAATTATATGAATTACCTGGTTGGTAAACTTGATACAAATCTTCCTGTAAAAAAGGAAATGGAGTTGGCAAAGAAGCACGATGAGGACATAATATTTCTACACATTTAAATTCTTTAGAAATGCTTGATAAATGAAACAGTCTTGGAGTATGTTCCTGTAATTGATCTTTTTCTAATGATATATACAACTTTTTGTTCATTTGTCCCAATGCTGTGCAATAAAATTTATCTTATTTATTATTCTTATATAACAATAAGTTAATACTAAATATAATTCTTTACCTACCATTAATAAATTCCTCTGGTTCCATTCCTTCATTAATTTCAAGAATTTCTTTGTCATCTGTAGATGTTAAACCAGTTTCTTGAGATTGATTTTTTTTAAATTTAGTTGCTGCATTAATTGCATTCTAAAATGATAAAATGCATTGCATATATAAAAATTTTTATTTTTAATATTTTGCTTTAATACGTAAATCTAAATTTGCAACTGATTATATTTAAACAGAAAAAATATTTTACTTTTTACAATATCTGAAGTATCTTGTAATACGTATAATATAAGAATACCTTTTTAATATGAGGTAAGGAGTTACATCCATGCCATACATAAATTTTGTTATTTTTAGTATCTAATAATATAAGAGAACCTCTGCTTCGTAATTGACGAGTACTACAAGGAATCTCTATTAAAGATACCTCTGACTCTAAAGTACCACGACATATATACAATCGCCACCGTTCATCGCACTTTGTATTCGTTTTCTTGCCATTATGTACAATCATTTTTCCAGAAAATAAATTGAGAAATGCTGCCGGTTCGTGCCCTTGAACTACGCGAATCTGTAAAAGAAAATATGTCGATATAAATTTAATATATTTATTCCAATAATACTTTTAATTTATATTAATAATTACCTGAGGTGCTTGATCATTATCTAATTCAATAGTTAGTAACGCTGCAGCACCTTGTTCATTCAAAGATGCACTTTGCCCTTGCCAAATAAAATATACTGAGCGATCACGTCCCTTTGCAGAATGTTTTGATGGCAAACCACTAAGCTCACGACCTAGGTAAAGAATAGTATAGTGCATATCATTAAACAACATATTTAATATTTACCAGTAACTGTAACAGAATACATCCAATGCACAATGTAACTATCTGCAGAATAAAATTGTCCAACAGATGAATCGTCTAGAAGACTATGTGAAAATTCATCAATATGCCAAACTTTTAGACCCATTGTTGTAATAATGAATTGTTTCATTAGCTGAAAAATAATCATTTACATATTTTTATTTACATATAATTATTTTTTTTATTAGATATTACTAAATAATAATTTTGATTACCTCATTGTCATACCAACCAGTGCCTCTACCTAAATGAGTTCCTTCAAGAATTAAATCAACTGGAGTGGTATTTTCTTCTAGTAAATTATTAATATCGCACATTTCTATAGTTACAGTTCCATCAACGTTCTCTTTATTCTTAGTAGCTCGAATTCGTATTATACCAGAAACGTTTGGCCAATCAAGGAATTTTTCTCTGAAAAGTATCGTTTCAACATGTTGTGTCAATTTGGCAAGTAAACACCATTTAGGTCTGACTTTAGCAGCTTTCAAATCTGTTTTTGACACAGTGCGTCTACCAATCATAGATGCTGCACTAATTGGGCATACAGTACATTCTGTATAATCATATCCTTCTTGCCACATTTCTGTAGCAAGATGTGTAGCAAGCTTTTTTTTATCAGTTGAAGCTCCTTTACCACTCCATATATACATTTCACTACCAAAATCAAATACTAGCACCTTATAAGAAAAAAATATAATTACTTATAATTAAATTAATTATAAATATATATCGTATTAAAATCTACCTTATTTGGATCGAGCATTTCAATTTTTGGTATAGTACCCCAATATTTTTCAAGTGGTACCAGTTCTTCATCTTTAATTTCGTACACCATATTCGTATCTATCATGAAAGTTTCATAAAGTTCATCTTCGTCAGGATGTCCACCCTCAATAACTATTATTATTACAATGATATTATTGCTAGAATATTCTTATATTTATATATAATAGAAAATACTATCTTACCATCGACGTTCTCGCTTCCTACCCCAAGATAATTCCAAAATTTTTGCAATTGACTTTTTGTACAAGTTATTTTATCTTCAGAAATAGTAATAACTTGGGATGTTTGACAACCAAGATCTTTATTTTGCTGAATACTCATTGCAATTTCCGCACCTCGTGCTTTTTCAATAACATTGCAATACTTTCCAACATAATTATAAACCTCTGATTTTGTTACTAGAACAAAATTATCACCACTATTAATGCTTTCTGCAACTGGCTCAACTAATCTCACTTGTACATGTCTCCGGCCTTTAATTAATATTAACATCAAGTCTTTGTATGGCTGTAATCTATTCGTGGAAATATTTGTTTCTGCCACATTCCTTAACATCACATTACAAAAGTCTTCAGTAGAAGCCAAGCCAGCTAGAGCTTCCATAGCTAATGACGAATTTTTAGCTACTGTAACATAGTATAGTAATTATTATAGTAACATATATCAATTATTTGATACTTTACGAAGACTTACGTTTTTCAACATTTAATTGTTTCATTACTTTTTCTGCAATACCAGTTCGTATCTCAGTATACTCTGATTTTAAATCAGTACGAGCTGCAAGCGTTTTAAGTGGATTTCTAGACACAAAACGTCGTCGTTTCAATCGTATATTTCGTTTTTGAACCAATCTATAAGAATATAAATTTATAGAAACTAAATCTAATGAATGATTAACAATATTAGTAAAAAATAAAAGACTCACAATTCAGATTGCGATGTAATCATATCAAAATCGCTTTCATTTAAATCAACAGATTCAGCCTCACATTTTTCTAATGAAATTCCAGTAAAGAAAGAGGTAAATGTTTCGTCATCTATTTTAGGTACTGAGACAATAGGTGATACATTCTTTCCCGTTTTCAACTCTTCAGCTATGAAATACATTTTTTAAGTAATATTAATGGTGAAAGAAAAATACTCTGATAAAACTCCTAAAATAACTATTCACTAACCACTGTCATCGCTTGTAGGTTCAGAGAAGCTGCCTCGCAATTTAATATATGAATCTTTATTTGGGCTAGCTGGTGTAGATATAGCATCTTTTGCATATCCTAAAAATATAAAATATATGGTGGCATTTACTCTACTTAAAAATTCAGATTTGAAATATTACCTTTCTTCGCTCTAAACCGTTCAGGACGAGGAGTTTTTTTCTTTCTATCTGTAATATTTCCTGTAACTTCAATAAGCGGAGATGATGGTCCTGGATCTAAGTTTTCTAATTGTTCTACCTTCATTTTACCAGCTACTGTAAACTTTGTTACATCTGGAGCTGCTATTCTTTTCTTCCAACCCTCTGTTGCAGATTCTAGCTTTCCAAGGCAATCTGCAAGTACTCCTTGTTTGATACTTACTTCTTCTTTATTCAATGAATTGGAACATACTCCATCCTGATATCAATTTTAATTGATAATAATAAATATTGCAATGTATTTTAACTTTGTAATAAAATTAATTTAATACAGTTTACCGATGAATTAGATGACTCAGGAGCTATACGTCGCTTCCAATTTGTATTTCCACTACGTTGTAGTGCAGCTAATCGTTCTGCAATACTCATACTTGGACCATCATTAATATCTACTGTCGGTATTGCTTGCGTTACGCTACGACATAATCCTGGAAGAGGTACACCATGTTGTTTTTGTGTTATTGTATTATTCGACTCACTTTCATTGGTTTTGTTGCTAATTGCGTGATGGCTGACGCTTTTCAATAATGAAGTACACCTACAAGTAGTGCAATACATACATTTACACTTATGCTTTTTACATAACGTAATCTTATCAGTAGTTAAAGTAATAAATAAAAGGTTCGACGTCACGTAAAAGCCATATTTGATAAAATATACTGTACTAGAAAAAGTACAGCAAATATTTTCATAATTTATTCAACTTCTAAAACTCTTGTTAATATAATATTAAAATATAAAATTATGTTCCATTTAAAATGATGTTTAATAAATAAATTAATATAATATTTGTTACCTGGTTTGTTTTGAAAAAATAGGATGACAGGAAGGAGCCGCAGGTTCATCTTTTACGTTATGTATTTCATGACTTACAGAGAATATCTCACCTCCAGATATTTGTAAAATGTCTTCATATTTTTTAGATGTAGTAATTTGAACATTATCTATGTTATTTAATGAAGATTTGAATTTTGTTCTATTTAATTCATCCTGTGTACTATATTTGTGAAAAGGCACTGTATATTTTTGTTTAATTTCATGTTGCCTACCTTCTGTATGATTATCCTTTTTATTATAGGTACAATTTAAACCATATTGCGTTGGATAATTATTTTCTATTATGCTTCCTGTCTGCACATAACATCTTGTATCAAAACTAAAGTCACGTTCATATTAAGTCGTTTATCTTTTCTTGTCAAGTATTACTATTTACCTTATTTTCTTCTAATTTTAAATTAGGTTTTGCTACAGAACGTGATGAAATATCACAATTTTCAAATGTCTGTTGTTCTATTTCCTCAGATTCTTTTTTAAGTACAGATTTTATTAACTTCATTCCTTCAAGTTCAAGATTTTTTGCTTGCGGCAAATTATGTGCATGTAACGCCACAGACTTTAAAATGCTTTTTGGTAAATCACCTCCAAAAATGAAACAATTAAAATATTGGTAATTTATATTATACAAAAACACGTTTGAGTAAATACACAAAACTTACTAGTATCTAATAGACGTTGATTAATAGTACTCAATGGAGATATTCGGGATGCTACTTCAACTTCCTCGGATGTAACTGGTTGTGTTTTATAACGAGCAGCAGGCCGTCTTCGTGAATGCCTTTCCAAAGGTATATTTGATACTGAAGTTTTTTCAATTTTCTGATTAAACAAACGTACTCGTTCTGCCAAACTTAATTTAGAGGGATCAAATTCATCATCAGTCGTAGTTTCTTCTTCCAAATTTGATTTTTTAACTGATGTGGCATTGAGTTGATTTTGCAAAACTGCTTCCTGCACTTCTTGAAAAGTCACTGGTTGAGTATTAAATCTATCATTTCCTTGATTCTTTCGTTCTCTATATCGTTGTATACCACGTGAACCTTTAGTCTGTGTTTTTTGAGGTATGATATCCTTTTCTTTGGAATTTGCCTTTTCTTGTAAAGTTTTAAAATGCAATGTCATTTTGGAAACACTGTTATTATATTGTATATCATTACTTTCTTGAATGTTTCCATCACTTGTTTTTTCTTGCACACACAGCATTTGATTACTCAAACACTCTTTATCATTCATTCTAATAGAAACTGGAGTACTACTATCAATACTGTTATCTACAAGTCCATGTGAAATCACTTTATTTCCTTCTTCACTTTCAAATACTATGACAGTTTGCTTTTCTTTATCTGTAAATTTCTCTTTTACTGTGCTGTAATTGAATATAGTATTAATTTATTAAATATTTCCACAATTAAAAAAGAAAATTAATGATTTATGTAAATTATTATAACATGATATTATTTTAAACTTTATAGTGCAAAAATCTCATGACTCAATGTGTCTAAATATATATACAAAAATATTTAATAAGCATTTATTATTGAAATTTTAAAATATTTCTTACCTTTACAATTTTTATATTGGTTTATGCATATACTTTATACATACAAGTAAATGAAAAAGAAAGAAAATACGCTAAATTTAATATTTTTTATAAATATGTTTAAGAAGAAAAAAACAAAAATTTTAAATACTATTTTAAATTAGAATTAACTTTTAAACAGGCATACAGGTTGTGTGCATGCTCCGACTCTCTGTTTTCTGTAGCTTTTAGAATTACTAGGTAGTCTATAATTAAACTTGGCACAGATTCAACATCTTGCCAAAGTTACATATTACTATTCAGATTAAATACACAAATGAATATATGCTACAGAATACTACAACATATATCATATTGATAAACAATAATAAATTAATAAAAATTAAAGCATGTACTTTAATGAAAAGTTTAGAATAACAGAATTTTAATGTGATTGTTTTTTTAAATACAAAGAATAAAAGATAATTAAAAAATATAATCTTTAATAAATAATGAATAATTTAATTTTTTAATTACCTGTACAATTTTTCACAAGGAATAATAGAAGTATTGGCACTCTCATCACTCAAGGAAGGGGCTGCTTTGAAATAGATATTACTAGTTGCTAATTTTCCTTCTGATATAGCACCTACAGATATTAATTCAAGAGATCTTCGTTTATTAAGTACACCATTGAATTCATTAGGAATATTAGAAGGCTGTATATGACCCACAGATTGTGCTCTTTTTCGCAAAAATAAATTTGCTGGTTCTATAGATATATCATCACTAACGACTGTTTCATCGTATAAGTTTAAACGGACTCGTGATTCGTTGTCTCTATTGCCGGGTTGCTTTAATATAGGTCGTACAGGATCATTCTCTAACACTGCACTTGTTCTATTTTGTAATGTACGATTTCTAAGCATTGACAATTTTTTTGGCGAGGTCAATTCTGTTTCATAGTTACATTCATCTTGTGAATTTTTTCGAGTACATTTTAAAATAGTTTTTTTAGGTTTATCATCATGTTCATCCGATTCTGTACTCGATTTCTTTTTTAGTATTGGCCGTGGTTCTAAAGATGGATCATTACCAAATGATTCTTCTCTACTATGCTTTTTCTTTAGGATTGGCCTCACTTCAGAACTATCAAGTATTTCAGAACCACTCACAATTGTTGTATCCATTGTAATGGTCACATGATGATTAACAGTAGTTGTTCGTTGACTATTTGTAGATTTTCTTTTAAGTATACCCTGTGGTTCTGTAGAACCAATCTGACGATCTTCTCGATCATCTTCTCTAGATGATTTTCGTTTTAATATTGAAGTAGGCTGAGGATCTGGACTCTGATCCCTTTTAATAATTTCATCTAAAGACGATCGTCTTTGATTTTTTAATATTGGTCTGAATTCAGAATAGGTATTGTCAATAGACGAAATATCGGGTGAGCAACTGCGCCGTCGAAGTATTTCACTTTCGTCCAAACTACTCCGTTTCTTTAAAATACCATGTTTTTTATGTGTAAGTTCTCTAACAGATGGTGAAAATGTTACAGGCAAAACTGTGTGATTCGTAGTGGTAGATAAATTTTGACCTATATCAATATCAGACATTTTATGTTTGAGAATTGAAACTGGTAAATGTTGATGACTTAAAGATCCATCTTGAGAGTGTTCATCATTTGATTTTTTCAAAATAGAACTTTTTCTTGGAGATAATTGCAATGCACGCGTATTATTCGTATTTTCTGTAACTTGATTTGGTGTATTAGATGAACGATTTTCTAATCGTGATCCATAATTTGTCGATAAATTTGAGTGTGACTTAAGTCTTTCTACACGTTCTATTGCAGATTTTGTTAACGCTGTTAATGCGTCAACTCTTCGTGAAACTTCTGAATCACTATGGCCACCGCTACTACAATATTAAATTTTATAACAATTCCAAATTTAATACAAATACATAAATTGAAAAAATTACAAAATAAGAAAAACATTATAAAAATATTAATGAATACAATTACCTAGTTCGTTGTATATTTTTGTTATTTGCAGGAGAATTCAATGAGGGCAATGTATAAGTTTTTGAATAATTTTCTTTAACTTTCTGGCAAGTATTTTTCGAGTCAAAAGACTTTTTACTTAAATTAGTTGTTTCTTGTTGATTATTAGAATATGAAGTAGATATTGTATCAGATATGTAGCCTTGTTTATTTGATTGTCTTCTAGTTTGTCTAATATTACATTCAGCTAAAATATATATAAAATTTTTAATAAAATAAAATTTTTAACAAAATAAAATAAATTTTTTTATATTACTTACATTGGTTTGAACGATCTCCTGTTATTGTTTCCATATTAAGTGAACAATTTAAATATGATTTTCGTTTATAACTTTTATCTCTTTCTCGTGACGAATTTATAATACTATTATTGTTTGATATTGGATGTTCCTACACAAAATTGTTACGTATTATATAACATATTATATTAATATATATTCTACAATCAAATCAGCTATGATAACTTACATCTTTAATTGATAAACTAGTACTAGGTTGGAGGCCCAAAGGTGTAGAATTTTCTGACATACCCAATTTTTTTGACAACACTGTTCCACCTACACAGCACACATATATATAAATATTAAATTATACTGATTTAAGATAACTATAAAATGTAACTTACCATTAGGTGATATAATAGAGGCAGCTCGTAATCTAGAAGCTTTTGTTTCACGAACTAATGCTGTTTTATATAATATATGATTTTTATTACTTTCCTTAGTTTCTGATCTTGAAATCAATCGACTATTCCTTTCCAACATGGAGGTACGACCTTTATCTTCTATTATAAAAGATATTGACAATTATTAATACTAAACTGAAGTACATTACATATATTCCCAAAAATTATATTTTTTGGCAATTGTTTTTTAGACTAATAATAGACATTTAAACTGATGAATTGATGAATATGAAACTTATGAAGTTTAAAGATACATGGACTACACTTACTATTTGTGTTACAAGATGTTATATTCTTTTTAATTGGACATTCTGAATTTTGTTGATTATTGTGTATCTCATTATAGTGACAACAAATATTTTGATTTTCATATCGTGTGGAATTATTTTGTATTCCATTTGAAGTTCCTTCACTGGTTGCCATTAAAACTGTGGCTCCAGTAGTTACCATCCCTAAAAGTAAATAATTATTATATCTGACATTTTTAAGGACTCTCCTTATTATCACTTAATTATACATACACAAACATATTTAATTTCTTGAGATCCAAAAGTATAGGTCATATAGAAGGTAAATACAAATATAAAATTAAAAATTTTAATAATTTTTTTGATAATATAATAATGTTATATATTTCAATAAATAAAAATAATAATCATAAACATTTTGACAGCAATTCATTTATTCCTTATGAGTTTAAAACATATATATACATGGTATTGAATCTAAAAATAATGTTAACAAAAATTTTCATCTGTTTCAAAACTGAAATTTAACCATACATATTGTTACAAGATATAATATGAAAGATCCTTATTAAAAAAGGTAACTATATATTTGTCAAATTTAATAACAATATTTCAGATATTTACAATATTCTAATGTTATACAGTATGAATTATAACTCTCCTCACACTTACTGATCTAATATAACTTTTGTTTCATTGCAGCTGTATCACGATTTCAAAAAACAAATTTACAAATAATCAAGAATGCAACCAGTGACGCAGATCAGTTATGCCGTTATCACAGCTATTCAGTAAGTACTACTTATAAAATACATATAAAAAGTACCCATTAAAATCGGGCAAATATACAAAATATATGAAATTTAAGTTTTATCGCAGATAAAAATTTTACAACGGAAAGAAAAATTTGTCCGCAAAGAATTGCACAGGTATTAGTCATGACAATTTCTCTCATAACGAAGTAGAACGAATAAAACCGAAGATAGATATTAAACTAGATGGCGTTACGTGAATTTAATAAATATATATTATTATAAAAGAATAAAAAATTACATGTATAACTGAATGAAAAATATCTAAATTTATAAAAATTTCAAGATATTTAACTTCTTTTTACTTCTATATATTCTAAAATTCTTTAATTAATATAAGAGAAAGTACTTCTTAATTCAAAATTCAAATTAAACATTGTACACTATGTATACAATGATTTATTAAAATGATTTAATTAAAAAATATTAATTTTAATATAAAATATGTTATAAATATTTATATATTGCTTACAGGTAAATATGAATATTAAAGTAAAATGTAATTTCATCATACAGTTAAAAAAAGGAGTCATACATTGGAAATATTTATTGTATCAAGTAGTATAAACATAAATTTGATTTTTTGTAGGAAAATCACATATATTTCAAACTATTTTATGTTCAAATAGTTAAAAAATGGAAAATACAGAACTATTATTCTTTGATACATTTTCACATGATATTTCTGAAGTAAGTGTTAGGTTACTTTGTGTTACTATAATAATATAATATAATAATTTCAACAAAACTGTTTCAGGAACTTAATTTAGATTTAGTGCAATTTCCAAAACCTGTTTACATAAGTGAAGTTAGAATTATTCCATTAGGTGCTAGAGTACAAGCTGATTTTCCTGGAGGTGTTCGTTTAGGGTACTTGAATTACTTGATAAAAATTATATAAAAAGTGATTCTTTTCCAAATAAATTATTTTATTTTTTGTATGCTAGGGCTACAAATCCATCCCAGTTTGAAATTGAATTTTTTGTAAATGATTTAAGTAAACCTGGTGCTTCTACATTTGAATCACTTGGAGAATTAGAATATAAACAAAATATTCACATTCAGCTAGAATGTGAAAGAAAACAAATACCAACAGATGGATTGGTATTGAGAGGCTGGTATACAACTATTACTTTAGCAGTATATGGAACATTAACAAAATCTTTAAATAATCCGCAAGAAGTTGTTAGTTCTGCTGCTGGTTCTGCAGCTTGTGTTAGTGGATTAGAAGAAACTGGGGAAAATGCTACTCAAATTTCAGAACAACAATCTGAATGGTACTATGAAAATCAAGCACAGACAAATTCAAATGTATGTACATAAGTATATCTTATATGTGTACACATATTTATGCATGTTTATAAATTTATAAAACTTAATTTTATATCAATGGTTTTAGAAAATTCATATTATAAGAAGATTCATATTACAGGAAACGTGTGTAGCAGCAACACCTCCACCTCCTATACAACCAATTCAAATAGTAGAATCATCCAGGAATTCGACATCAGATACTGGAAAAACAGAAATGAGACATTGGGAAGAAGATGCTACAAATAGCACTTTAAAATCTACAAAACGTCCTTCTTCACCACCTTCTGAATCTTTAGTTTCTTTAAGTCCTGAAAGCATATCAGCTGAAGAAGAAGAAGCAGAACAGGATGGTGGTGAACAAGAAACAGGAGAACCTTTTGAACCTATATTATCTGATGAAGATATAATGGCAGATGACGTACCATCTACTACAGAATATGAATGTGAAAATATTCAGTTAAATAATATTTATTCTATAACACCACCTGATCTATTGGAATTGGAAGAATCAATGAATGTTGCTGAAGAATGCCACATTAGCAAAGAAATGTTGGATAAGATTCATGAAATATTTCAATCTATATCAAAATCAGTTTTACATTTTAATAATGCTTCAGGTCAAGAAAAAGAAGCATTTGTCCATAATTGTGAATCTTTATGCGCAATACTTAGTCCTTTTCATTTGAATAATACAGATTTTAATGATTTGACCAATATCATAAATGCTGGTTTAGATACGGATCTTGCACGTGCTCAACCTCAGCCAGCTTACAAAGTTCGTCACGTTAAAGTTGGTGTACGATTAGCAGAAACTTTATGTAAATTTCCACAAGGTCCAGATATTCTGTTAAAAGTAGATGCACCTTATAAATTATTAGCGTTGTGCATGCGCGAAAATGTAGCACTTCCTGTCAAACTTTCTGCTCTTCGTACATTGGATGCTGCATTAATAAGTCCAATAATTGTTCGAGAATTTCTTAAATCGAAAAGTAGTTTATATAAAAATGCTCTAATGATGTTAGATACAACAAAATTAGCAAGATTAAAATATGCTTTAAGTTCATTATTACGAAAAGTTCACACATATGAATTTCTTGATGAAATGAAAGAAATTGATGAATTGGCTATCACAGAATTAACAAATACATATGTATGTTCGCCCACATTAATGGCTCAACCAAAACGTCAGCTTCCAGCTGGAGTTCAAATGGAATTTGAACGAGAGCATAATCGAAACCCTCGATGTCATTTAATAGCATATTTTGAATATCACAAACTTTTATATCATATTCTATTTGCCCTTACATCTCCAAAATCAGATTTGAGTCTAATTAAAGCTACTCGGCATTTTCTTTTACGTATTTCTGATACAAAAGAAGGTTTATTATATTTATTAAAAGATCCAGAAGTTACCAAATTAATTTTAAAAGCTCTAAAATGTGATTTACCTGGTGCAGGATCAGTTTTAGCTTGGCGTCTTCAAGTGGTACAATGTTTATTACATTTAAAATATCAATCTTCTGATTGGATGGCTTTAAAAAAACTTCATTCTTTCTTGATATTTCCTGAAGGTTTACAAGCTATAATAACAGTACTTCCTAAAGGAGAATTTATTGATATTTTAATTCCTTATCTTTCTGATTCAAATTTGTGTGAATTCTCTGCAGAAATTATATCAGCAACAATTCGCTATTCTGATCGAATAGAAGTATTTCAAAATCGTGCTGCAATTATTTTAGAGAAATCACGAGCACAAGCTGTATTGAAAGATATTGTATCATATCTAACAACAGCAGCACAGCCATCTCATTGGAATTACGGGGATGTTTCTCCACTTGTTGCATGCATTAGAAAAAATGCAGATAAGGCTGCTTCTTTGCCAGGACAACTAATTACAGCATGTAGAATTCTATATTATCTTGTCTTTCCTTCAAACAATGATATAGATCCAATGGAACCTTACATTGAATTAAAATACAGGAATGCATTAACTCAATTGTTTGCTGCTGATGGTTTAACAGCTCTTATTGCAGTTATGGCAAATATTTCAGAATTTTATGAACAACCTTTTTTACATCGTGCAGCTCTAACAGGCAGAAGAGGTTTAGCATTGGTCGCATTACTTCTTCCATGTGTAAGATTAACAAGAGCATTACTGGAACGTCTTGTGAAATGTATGGCTACAGATTTCAAAGATCTAACAGCTGTGATACCATTACTTGGTGTTTATTCATTAGTAGACGCTATTCCTCCTATTCGAATTGTTCAAACTTTATCTGAAGAGATAGTAGGAACACTTTTAGTATTTACACAGGCTGTAGATTCAGATGGATCAGGAAATGTAGCAAAATCATTATGGACACAAATGTTAGGTGAAGTCCTCAAGATGGTTTCTCTAAGCCCATGTAATTTTATACCTGGCTTGAAACTTTTAACAAGTTTATTACCACCTGTTTTAACTTTGAAAGAAACAATGACCGAAGATGCTACCCGAGTTTTAGGCTTTAGAAAATTATGGTCTGCACACTTGCAAGCTCAAGCTAATAACTTAACTGAAACATTACGACTGCTTTGTGCTAGTTGGAATAAAGATTTATTAGTACTTCTCTCAAAAGTATGTAAGCAATTAAGTGATTTAGCAGCACCTACAGCATTACTTGTAGGTAGATGTTTATTAGATGGTGTAATAGCTGCCACACCGCTAGAAAGTAATGTTTTAATTCTTGCTTTACTTAGTGAACTTGCAAGACACGCACCTATGAAGGCTACTTTGTTAACTTTAACTAGTCCTGCATCTAGAGCACAAGTTAAATCTGACCAAAAATATCCACCCGTTATTGAAATGATGTGTGTGGCACTTAAAAATACGAACGATATTCGAATGCAATATGAAATTCTAGATATCTTTGAAACATTGTGTGATTGTACACTAAGTCTTATGCAAGAAGATAACAGTGAACCATTTGAAAAGAAACTCACACATTCAGTACCAAGTAAAGAACCACTTTTATCTATTTTAGCTGCATTAATTGATATATTAGCAACTAGTACAAAATTTGAATCTGACATATTACAAAGTACACTTCGTATACTTTTGTCTCTTATTAGTCATAATTATGGTTTGTATCATGTAAAAAGCTGTTTAGAAAATAATCCTGATGCATTACGATCATTATTAGACCATATTTCTACCTTGGAAGATTCAGAAGCTCAATCTGTTGTGGATTTAACTATAATGTTTTTAGAAAATTTAATTGCATCTGAATCACAAGGAAGATCTTTGTATCTACGTATACAGCAATTAGCAGCTTTAATATTGTGGGACAAGAATGATCATCCTTTGGAAAAAATAAAACGTGCACAAGAATTAGTTGAAATCCTAAAATCTGCCGAAGATAAAGAAGAAAAAGAACCAATTCCAGAAATGTTAGAGCCATTATTACCAACTCCTGAAGCTCTATTGAATCAATTCTCTCAACGATGTTTGGGTACTCCAGATCTTGCTTCTAAACGACCCAAAAAATTTACATTTATGTGCCTAAATCAAGCAACAAATGAAAATACAGTAGATTTATTAGCACTTGCAGCTGAACTACTTCCTACCGATTTTAATTTATTAACAGAAGCTCAAAATTTATGTTCTAAAACTCCACCTGATGATGCTACACAACCATTACAATCAAAAGTTCAGACTGATGATCAAGAAAGTAGAGATGTACAAAAACAAACATCTCCTGTTTCTAAAATAAAACAACCGTTTGGTAAATTATACATTTGTTACATATAACTATTTGTATTAGTGCAAAATTGGTAAAAATTTAATTAAAAAATCTTTTTTTACAGTTACACCTATGCGAGGTCGAACACAATTTACTAGTTCTTTAAGAAGTGGTCCAGTAGTGGGAAGTGTGGGCAGAGGAGCAGATCCATTTAGATCAAGGCCACCAAATACTTCACGACCACCCTCTCTTCATGTAGACGATTTCGTAGCATTAGAAACATGTGGAGCACAACCAACTGGGCCTACAGGATATAATAAACTTAGTATTCGTGGTACTTGTCCTTCACGCGTAATCAATACAGGAACAAGGAGTCGTCCGTGGACACAAGAAACTCGTCCTCCTTATCTTCGCTAATTTATTTGACGATCTTAATTATAAGGATTTTACAATTTCTTGTAAGATTTTCTTTTTAAGAATAAAATAAGGGTATTATTATATTAGATTATTTTGAATTTTGCTAATAATTATCTATATACATAAATATAAGATAAAAAATACGTAAAAGTATTTGTGTATAAATTTTATTGTGAAACTATTTCAAGTTTATCATTTTTACATTACAAATTAAAATTAATATATTACACGTTAAAAGCAAATTATAAACAGAAAATGCTTAATCTTCATATTTTTAAAATATCATTTTGTACTTTGGTTTTCCAATCTTCATATTTTATTTTAAAATCATTATAATTTTTCATAATTTTATTAACTGCTTTATGTTTGTATTTACCCTAAAATTGTAAGTATTATTATAGATTATTATAAACTATGTATATTTCAGAGTTATCTTTAAAATAATTTATATACCTTATTTCTAACAATTTCCAACATTGTTCTATCAAATTTTTCCAAATTATTCAACATATCTTGCGATGGTCTAATTTGATTCTTTAATGTATACCTCATTAAAAATAATGTGTAAGAAAAATTTCTAGTACTACATGCATTAAATAATAATGTTCCTAAAATCACATAATTAGGTGCATAATGAATGGTATCTAACTGTTCTAAAAGTTCTCTTCCATCTTTTTCCATTCTGCATCCAATTGCTAATACTCCAAATGTAACAACATTTGGTGTCATATGATAGGTTTGAATTTTATCAATTACTTCCTACATTGAAATATAAATTATTAAGAATCTTTAAATATTACTAAAAATGGACTTCACTAAAATTATAACTGCATACTTACTGTAGCATCTTTGTATTGCTTTCTTAAACATCTCCTTTTAATAAGCATGTTAAAAAAACTTATATCAATTTGTAATTTATTTTTAACAATATATTTAAAAAAAGCTTCTTCTGCTTCTATTGTAGATGGAATTAAATCTAAGAGTAATGTTATTGTCTTTACATCAGGTTGTACATCATCATCTTTCATACGTTTCAATAATTTATCAACTCCACCAAATAAAAGCAATCGATTTTCTTGTAATATGTTATTTAAATTTAAGGACAATAATAAATTTTTATCAATTGTATCTAGCTCTCTTCGCTGTTTAGAACTTTCATTTGAGATAAAATAATTATGCTTCTTAAGTAATGAAATAAGTGAAATAGTTAATACTGGTGGAGAATCTAATAAATCTGGTTTTCCTGTTTCAATGAATTGAATTTTAGTGTTTATTAATTCTGGTACTATAATATCATTTACTTTTAAATCACCAAACTTTGTGTCTCTAATTGCCCTTAAGAAAAGATTGTAGTGAAATATAGTTGCTTTTACTTTGCTTACTTTCATCTTATGCCACAAAACTAAACAATGCTTTAATCCATTTTCTGTATCATTTATTACTCCATTGAACAAAGCAGCAATTATATCCTGTGTATAAATGCCTTTATCTTTTGCTTCATCTGCTATTTCAAAAGCAGTTAAAGTTTGTTTATGTTGATTATAAGCTCTAATAAAAGCTGCATAATTTATATCAGTTAAATTAATTTTTTTTACATAAAAATGTTCCCGTAAAAATGTCAAGTATTTTAATGCTGTTTTAGTATCCTTTGACTCAGCACAAGCATGCATTAAACTACTATACACAGTTGGAGTAGGAATAAAACCTCTTTCCTTTAATTTTTTAAATAATTTAAAACATTGTTTGACATCACCTTGCTGAGCGAAAGCAGAAATTAATAGTCTATATATATACAAATCAGGTTTATCACGATTCTCTTTCATTAGAGTTAATACATTTAATGCCAATTGCAAATTTTTATCACGTAAATGACTTTTAATAAGCTTAATGTAATGTATATGAGTGAATCTTTGTCTTTTTGGAAGTACATTCTCCATAAATTTTTCTTCTCTTTTTTCTGCTTCATCCATTTCAATTCTTTCATAGTCATCATACGAAAGATCTCCAAATACATTAGACTTCTTTGGTAGTATTTTTGTACAGAATCTTCTATTACAAATTGACAAGTGTGAAAGATCATGTTTGCCTCGTGCAATATTTGTTTTGTTGAATTGATCTGTAGTATAGCATAGATTGATAGATAAATATGTTCTATTATTTGTATAATTAACATAGTTACATATTTCCAACGTATGTAAAAGTTTTGTGTGTTTGATGTAATAATGATTGTTTGCATAACCTATAACATTTTTCAGTTTTGAGAAACAATGTGGTTTAAAAAAAAACATAATTAACAGGTTGGTGAACTTCTTAGTTAATTTCTTAAACTATTATTTACACACGATACTTCCTCTTGTCTTTGTTATTTTTATATTTTTGAGCTTCATTAATTTTAACAATCATAATTTTCAAAATAAATACCTAAAATATAAATATTCTCTTATTAAAAAGAAAATTAAATAAAAATTAAAATACATATGTTATATTATATATTATTTTTAAATAAAACATTTCAATTTAATTTAAGAATTAAAAAATATAACAACATTATTGTACAAAAAATGAATTAAACAAGATTACAGGACATATTCATACATGTTAAAAACTTTGATCATATAAAATTACATAAATCTTATTTATATATATTCATAAATTATATAGAAAATAACAAATATTATTTAATTACCAATGCTTTGTTCTTAATATATAAAATGGTACACTAGCGCTACGTACAACTGATTACAATGGTAGTGTTAGCTTAAGGTAGTGATCCGCGTCAGTTCGATAAAGGCCATAGCGATTTATAGAAAGGAAGACGAGATACTTTGAATGTTTCAGCAAATGTGTTTCCGATCGATCCTAATTGTTGACAAAGTACTAGCTCGTTATTGAAAAATCTTTTTGAATTTTAATCAAGATTAAACGAAAAGATGGAAAAAGCAGAAGAGAACGAACATAATGTGCTGCGAGAAATTTTAAGTGAAGAAGAATTAACGCAAATTCCCGAAGGACTAGCAAAAAAGCTTAATGCTTATTTCAACGAAAAGTTCGAACAGTATATTACAGCGAAAGCAGTTTTTGAAACTAATAGAAAAAATTTTGGTAAGTTTGAATTGAATTTTATACTACTGTTGCGGTAACGATCGACTAGTTTATTTACACAAAAGTTAACCTCTTTGATATAGAAATGTGCCGCATTCATTAAATATTTTATTATTTATGAATAAAATGAAATTGTGCTATAAAAAACTTGGTTAAGCTAATTTATTAAATAACTTATTAGATAACTTACAAAATCTTTATTATTTCGTTATTAAAATGAATAAATTTTTATATTTGAAATTTACTAGACCAAACTTTAGATAAATTACAAAAGGATTTAACAGAGGAAAAGTCAAATTTTGAAGAATGCAAAGGAAAACTTCAATTAGCAGAGAAATACACCATTGAATTACAAACTGATTTAAATCAAACTAAAAGTGAAATACAAAAGTTACAAGATACTATTAAAAGGTATTATTGTAAAATATGTATTTTTATACATAACATAATTAATTGATTATTACATATAATTAATCATTTGACATTTATAGATTAGAAAAAGAAAATGCTGACTTACGTAGGCATAGAGATACAGTTGTGGATGAAAGAGATACATTGCAATTACAAGTTGAAAGACGAGATACAGAAATTGAAAGAATGCATACTGAACTATCTTCTTTGGGAACTCAATTACAAAATGCTGTTGCTGCAAAATGTCAGGCTTTAGCAGAAACAGAGGAAATTCGAAGTCGTGATATGACTCTTGAATTTAAGTATGTATTCATGTAATGAATTCTTTCATTATTGATTTAAATCTTGCTTCATTTAATATGTTATGTTAAATATTTTTTAGAGAAAAACGTTTGGAACAGGAAAGGACTCTTTTGTCACAGCAAATGGCTGGTCTTGAAGAAGAATTAGCAAAGAGAATGTCAGAATTACAAGCAACAAGAGCAGAAGCTTCTGCACGAACGCTCTTAATGGATACGCGTTTGGCACAGCGTGATGAAGAATTACGTATTGCTAATGAAGCAATGGTACAATTACGAGAATCATATACATCTCTTCAACGACGTTGTGATGAACTATCTCAAAAATTAGAAGAACAACGTACACATGAAATTTCTATGCATGCTTCTTATCGAGAAGAAATTGGTGCTCAGACTAGATTAGCAGATCTTTATAAAGGCATGGCTGATGAAGCAAATGCAAAAGCTGAAGAATTTAGTAATGCAGTTAAAGAACTTCAAGAATTATTAGAACATGCTACTGAACAATATGGAACATTAGAGACAACACATAATCAACTTCAATTACAACATAAAGAAGAATTAGAAGAAAGAGAGCAAAAAATAGATGAGCTTTCAAAGGAATTAAATCATGCTAATGAGTTACTGAAAAATATTAAACAAGGTAATTACTTTATCATTATCATTTTTATGCACTTTTATTTGTTTAATAATTATACAATTTTTTTAACAGAAAGATTAGATCAAGCTGTTGAACAACTTGCACCTACAGCAGCTATAGCTAGTCGAGTGCTTAGAAAAGGCTTAAGTCTTACTCAAATTTATACACAATTAGTTGATGTAACAAATGAATTAACTTCAGAACGAGAAGAAAATGAACGTTTAAAATCACAAATGGATGTTATTTTACGTGAATTAGAAGAAAAAGCTCCTATTTTACAACAACAACGTGAAGATTATGAAACTGCGATGACCAACATCGGTATGTTAACATCAAGATTAGATGAACTTTTAGCAGAAAATCATAGGCTACAAGAAACAACTGATGAAGCAAATCGCATTGCTAAGCATCACACTAAAGAAAATCAAAGATTGAAAACAGAATTATCAGATTTAGCTAGACAGGTAAGCAATTAAAGTTACATATATTTATACATAGTATTTCAGTATATGATACTATATATTTATTATTTTTAGGTGTGCTTCCTTTTAAAAGAAGTTCAAGAAAGTAGAAGTGGTGTAAGTGTTAATACAAGTGAATTTTCAAATTCAGTAGATATGGATAATCTTGCTTCGTCTGAAATTATTAGTAAAAAACTCGTCACATTTAAAGATATTGAAGAATTACAAGAAAATAATCAGAAGTTATTATCAATAGTTCGTACATTGTCATCAAGACAAGAAGAAATTGAAAGAGCAACAGATGAAATAAATTCTGGGGAAATGAAAGAAAAATTAGATAGGTTTGTAATTGTATTAAAAATAAATTACAATAGTGTTTGTTTTTATTTATTTTAGTTTTTCATAATTGTAACAGATACCTAGAACAACTAGAAGACATGCAAGCTGCTCAAGATAGACAAGCAAAGATGTTAGATGGTCTTTTGCGACAACGGGACATGTATAAAAACATGTATCAACAATGTTTAAAACAAACAAATGTCGCAGAAAAAAAAGAATTTTCCATGATTCAAGAAGAAGGAGCAGGAGAAATTGATGGAGCAAAACCTATTAAAGATGAAGTGGCTATTATTACACAAGATGATGTTAATAGAGAAAAGGAATTACAAAAACAACTAGCAGAAACTGAAGCTAAATTGAAACAGATTACAGATGATTATGACACATATAAAAAAGAAAGGGCAGCCCATGAACGTATGTTAGGAGAGGAAGTAGAAAGACTTAGAAAAGAAGCAGAAGCTAATTCAGCCCGATGCTGCAGATTAAAAGCACAATTAGATTCAGCTAATGATAGATTTAATCTTTTACAATCAAATGTTGCTTCTTACAAGTCTCAAATAAAAGTTCTTGAAGAAAAATGTTTTAATTATAATGTGACAATTGGTATGAAATATTTGCTATGTTTATAAGATATTATGTTAAAAAAGTATTATTAAATTGTTTCTTTTACAGGCAAACATGAGCAAAGTCTAATGGTTTTGAAAGATGAAGCTTTGGCAGCTCAAACGCGGTTATCCCGTGCTGAGGTACAATTAGAAAATTTACGACAAGAAAGACAACTTTTACGTGATTCTGAAGGTCGTCTTCTGAAAGAACGTGAAGTATATCAGAGAGAACGTCAAACGCAAGCTTTATTACGAGCAGATGTTGAATCTATTAAAGCAAGTTTAGAGCGTGTTCAGGCCGAGGGTCAATTACGTGCTGAGCAGCGTTTAGATGATGCTACAAGAGAATGTGCTGCTTTAAGACGCCGATTGCAGGAAGAACAAGATCGATTTAGAGAATTATCTGCACATTTAGAAAGACAACTTACTACGGCTCAAGAACGATTAACCGAGGAACGCAATATAACTGAACAAATTCGCACAGAATTAGAACAAGCTCGTCAATCTGATACTCAAAATACGCAGCGTATAGAAGAACTTAATACAAAACTAAGACAAGCCATTACTCATTCAATATCAAAACCTTTCACTGGTACGTGTGAAATATAAAGTTAAATTTTTATCTACTTAGTTAGAGGTGATTATAAATAAAATTCTGTGCCTATTTGAACTTGCAGGTGATGAACATCTCGTAAAGAGATTAAAAGAACTTGAAATGCAACTAGCGACAACACAAGCAGAAGCGAAATCTTTGTCAGAACAATTAAAAGCTTCACGGCAACAAAGCCAACAATATTGCGATATAGCAGAAAGTGCAGAAGCTCAATTAAGAGAATTAACAGCGCAACATAATAAATGTAAAGAAGAATTAGAGACTGCCTTAAAAGAAGCACGTGTAGAAATAATATCCCTTCAAAAGAAAGTTCAAGAATTAGTAGAAGAATTAGCAAAGGTAGCTAATGGCCGACAAGAAACTGATTCGGAATTACGAGAGAAATTAGCTGATGCAGAGAGAAAGCTTGAGGAATTAGATGAAGTTAAAGGAGAATTAGAGATTGTAAAAAGTGATTTACATAACGCTTCACTATCTGTTAAAGAAGCTGAAGAAAAATATGCTAGAGAAATGGTATTGCATTCAGCAGATTTGCAGGTAAATAAAAATTCATTTCATTTATGCAAATAAATAAAATATAAAATAAGTTAATTTTTATTATTCTTTTATAGACGCTAGCGAAATTAAAAGAAGATGCACAAACTGTAGAACAAAAAATAGCAAGCTTAAATCAAGAAAGAAATGCAGCTGTAGAAGCTCTAAATCTTGAGAGAGTAGCTTGTCAAGAAAGAGAAAAAAAATTACTTGAAGAGATCCAAGAAATGCAACAAAGACTCTCAGATTTGGATACACAAAATGCTATTTTGCACACTCAAATTCAAGAGTTAAGCGATAAGACTGCAATCATGCATAGTCAGCAATCAAAAATAGGTGACCAGGGAAGTCCCGATACTAGCTTAGAAGCAATGAATCGTAGCTTTAGTGGACTTGAAGATGATTCTAAATCTGCTGAACAGTTATTAAGAGTAATGAAATATCTAAGACGAGAAAAAGATTTAGCTGTAGCAAAATTTGATGTTTTAAGAGCTGAAAATCTTAGATTAAAATCACAAGTGGAAGTTAGTATTCTTTCATTGAGATTTTAATTTGTATAATTTTTTAATATAATATAATACAATATAATTTTAATATTTTTTCATTAATTTAGGTCATAGAAAAAAGACTAAAGGAAACAGAAGCTGCCCTTAATTCGGAAAGAGAAAAGTCTGAAATTGATGTAGTAACCACATCCAAACATGCAGAGTTATTGCGGAAAGTTGAGACATTAAATGCCATCACAGATTCTAATAGAATTCTAAGAGAGGAAAGAGATAATTTAAGTGCAAAAGTTTCAGAGCTCACTGTAAAAGTAGCAACACTTTCTGAAGAAGTAGTACCACTGCGAGATACATCTCGAGATTTACAAGCAAAGACTGAAGCCTTATTACAAGAAAATACAAGTCTTAAAGGAGAAGCAACTAGGTGGAGACAAAGAGCTAATACGTTAGTAGAAAGGGCTAATAAAACAAGTCCGGAAGATTGGCGTAGATTGCAAACTGAACGGGAAAATCTCAGTAAATTGCTTACATCTGAACGTGAAACACATGTTAAACGCGCAGAAGAATTAAACCAATTGAAAGTAGAAAAAACTAAATTGGAAGAACAGTTAGCGCTGCTTCAAAAACAAGTACAAACTCAAGGAGAAGAAGTTCAAAAAGCATCTGAAGAAGCACGTAAATTGGGTCAAGACTTAAACCAAGCTCTTGCTGATTCTTGTTCCAAAGCTAAGGATTTAGCAACGTTAAGAAAAGAACTTGGTGATAAAGAAGCAGTTTTGAATGACATAAAAAATAAAGAAATACAAATAAGAAAAATAGCGAAAAAATACAAAACTCAGTTTGAAGAACTCGCGAAAACAGTAGAAGAAGAAAAGAGCAAATCTGAAGAATCTCGAATGTCTTCTGGTACTTCTGGAAATGAAGATATCGCACATGTATCTCAAGAACGTGAAGATGAATTGCGAGAAGAAGGCAGGCAAGAATTGCGTCAAGCAAACCTAGAATTAACATCAAAGGTTGATGAATTGTCTCGTCAAATGATAGTTGTACAAAATGAAGCAGAATCGTTAAAGAAAGAGATCGATACGATGAACAGAACACGCGTTGAAAAAGAAGAACGTGTAAGACGAGCATTAACGACTGCAAGAACTGAACTTATGCGGCTAAGAGAATCAAAGAAACTTTGTGAAAAGGAATTACTTGAATTGAAAGCTAAATTCGAAGCTGGTGCAACCGAATCAGATACTACTGAACATGATGCTAGACTTGCAGCTCTTAAATCTCAAATGGAAAGTAGAATTTCTCGTCTTGAACATGAAAAATCAGAAATTCAAGCAGAAAAAGAAACTCTTGTGCAAAGAGTTACTCAATTGCAGCGACAAATAGCTGGCGTTAGCGGAATTAGTGCCACTACGGAACCACCAACAGCTAATATTAAACCTATGTCTGCTCGTGCTGAAACGCCACTAGCGAGTATTCGACCTATGAGTGTAGTAGTGCAATCTAGAACAGCTGCCGTTTTACCTACAACGGCAACTGCACCAGTAATGGTTGCCCCTCATCAGCAACAACAGCCACAACAACAAGTGGTACATACTACTGAAACAAGTTCGCCAACTAGTAGTCTTCCAGATTTTCAACCAGCTAGTACTAGCAGCAGTTCATCGCAAACAGCACCAAGTACTTTACGACAACTCGTTGTACAACCACAATTAAGTGAATCAGCAGAATCGACGCAAAGAGAAGATCCAGAAAGTGCAGAAACACTTAGTGCACAACAGCAACAATGTCAACAACAACAGCAGCAGCAGCAACAGCAGACTGTTGCATTAGTTAGTCCGAGAGTAGAACAACAACAACAACAGCAACAGATTGCTGTCAGTGATCAACAACAGACTGTTGCTAGTAGTTCTACTCAGTCAGTGAGCACATCACAAGCTTCAACAGGGCATAAACGTTCCAGAGCTCTTGATTCGACAGCATCAGGGTCTGGAATTGAAGGTGTAGATCACAGTAGACAGGAACAAGTGCTTAGTCCCAAAGCTAAACGATCAAGACAAGAAATGTCATCTACTGCTAGTGCAAGCGCTTCAGAGGTCGAGTACCAGGTGAATTTAAATAATGAAAGTATTAAATGTATTAAATGATAATTGTATATTTAAAATGATATACTTCTTTAATTTTCAGGTACCAACATCGAGCCAGCGGGATCAAGACGAGGAGGTAGAAGAAGGATGTGTTGTTGTTGTAGATTGTGACGAAGGCGAAGGAGGCGGTAATCATCAAACTCAGGAGGAAGAAGAATTTGACAACGATCCATATGAAGAAATGGAAGAAGAAGAAGAGATACCCTATGAAGTGGAAGTAGAAGTGGAAAGAGATAATAATGAAGTTGAAATTATAATGGGAGAAGATTCTACAAGTGTAGAAGTACCTAGACAAGCACAGGTAACAGTACCTACGAATCAACAGCAACAGCAATCTGAAGCAATTAGTAGTGCTGAGCCAACGGGAGACCCACCTACATCTTTTGGAGCCCGATCTTCACGTGGAATTGCGCCAATGCCTAGGCAACAACAACAACAACATCTTCTTTTGGTATATTCTTATTTTTATACATTATACACAGATAAAAGGGAAAATAAAGTACCTTTTAATAAATTTTAGCCGCAACAAGGATATGAAGATGGCGGTGATGATAGTATAGTACCGAGTACGCCAACTTTATTCGTACCACGTCGAGGAGATGGATTTGGAGAAGCTGTGAGTTCACCTCAAGTTCCTCAAGGTCGTTTTACTTTTGGAGATTCGTCTACGCCAACAACAGCATCGTCAACTCCTTCGTTATCAACTCCTTCTGGTTCAGCAACTCGAACGATATTTGGATCATCTAGTTCCGGTGTAGCTCAAGTAATTCAAGAAAGCATGGATGATACACGAATGGATCTTACTCAATTAGAAGATGGTGGTACTGGTCGTAGTGTACCTACTACTCCTTTACAAGTTTCACCAGCAGCTGATTTACCACCTTCGGTATAAAAATAATTCAATATTTTTATATAATATTCAGAGCATTTCATTTTATTATATAATTAAATGATATATTTAAGACAAGCGGTGGACCTTCAGAAGAACAGGAAACCCCAGTTTCAGTAACACCGATGTCAATGACGGGTACTACTGTTGGTGATGCTAGTGAAGAGCCTACAATTCCAAGTATTCGTGTGCTTGGCGTTGATGATCAACAGCATAATCAAACTGAAATAATTACAGAATCTATTAGCACAACACCAACTGAAGGTACTTATAAACTATATCAATATTAGTAATAGATTTAAATAATTTCATATGGAACTATATATAGGTATAAGTTCAGAAGGTGAGAAACGCACAGAGGAAGCTGGTCCTTTAATTTCCGGGGATGATGACGCAGTAGATACTGGCGAAGGCACTGAAGAACCTGGAAGTGATATAGTGGAAGATGAAGTAGAAGAAAGTCGTGAAGCAGAAGCTTCTCCTTCCAGTAATACTCGTCAAAGGGCAATGGCGGCAGCAGCTAATGCTGCAGCTGCAGCAAATGGTGCTAGAGGAGGTACGTCACGACGTTCAGCAAGATCGCAAGATCGATTTAGAACACGTGGTACTCGACCTACACCTATTGTATGGGAAAGTCAATCTGGTGGTAGAGGTAAGTGCAATCATAAATGATAAATTATAAAATAAAAGTATATTCTCTTAATATAAAAATTTGCTTTAAAGGACAAAGCGTAATACGCGGAGGGCACACGACAAGAGGAGCAAATAACGAAACAGGAAGAGGACGTGGAACAAGAGGACGACGAATGCGATCTAAATATGCATATGCGCGATTTTAAAATTAAATAGTTTTGTATACGAACTCGTCGGAAAAATTGCACATTGCTGCTGTCTTTATACACGAATGGTGTAAGAATATGTTGACCATTAATATATTGACTTTCAAAACAAAAATATTTTTATTTAGCATCAAACAATAATTTTGTTGTACAGATACAATTATCAATGAAATATTTGTTATAGCTAAACTTAGATGAAACTATGATATGTCTTATAATGGCAGTGTACATCTATCTTTTCAAATGAAAACTATATGAAATTAAAAATATAATGTCGTTTTTTTAAATCATTAGAATCAAAGATAACATTTCCTTTGTCAAGATTTTATTAATGCTAAAAAGTTAAATTGAAATTAGATATTTGTTTTATTTACATTATTTTAAAACTGATTTTTATATAATTATTATTCAAATTTCATATAGTGTTTAAATTTATAGTATAAACGTATTTATATAAAACACTTTGTACAAGACATTCATAACTGAATTTCATAAATTACGCAATGCTTATCATAAAATTTTATTATTAAAAATGTTTGACAAAATGTATAAACATTTTATTTTATGTAAGTGCATTGCCTTTTTTATATTTTATAAGTTTAAGTATAAGTTCTACTATCTTTTTCAACAGATATATAAGTAAACATTGGAAACATATATGTTGTATGTTTCAATTTCCAATCATTAATAAATAGCATTAAGTATAATTTTAAGTATAATTAACATATTACGAAATTTATTAGAATAAATAAAGATACTTATTACGTTCCATACATAAAAGATGTGTAATATATTTTATATATCAGTCTCTTTAACAGTATTTTACAGTAGTATTATTAATTAATACTTCTTCAGTATTCGAGTATTTTATATTATTCAAAAAAAATTTACAAAAAATTACACATAAGGAATGAATTAAAAATATATAACAAATACATATAAATACTGAAGTCATTATAATTAATTAATAAATATCAGTTTTACACATTTTTCAATACAATTAAAATGAAGTCTACCAATACTATAATTTCGATGTTTATGATTGTATAAGTAAGACAATATCACAATGATGAATATTAAACTCTTTTTCTAAAAGAGTTATAGTAGTTTCTAAAATAATAATACATTTTGGCCCCCTTTATTTCTGTTTAATATAACTATGATCACGTACGAAATATGACTAGTTGTAGTTATAATTTTCTCTAGTTATGTGTAATCATCTGAATCTTTTTTAATGAACTTTTTAATGAAGTTAATTATAATTTTATAACTCTTTTTAATTTTTTTAAACAAAAAATTTTCCAAATCTTGTGAAAACCCTCCAAATCTAATGTTTTTGAGAAAATCCTTATTTTCTGAGAATTTGTATAAATTCGTTGTGCATCAAAAATAATAATATTGTAAAATAGGTGTTTACCAGCAATTTTATGATGATTTGATGTTAAAGAGACAATAAACACGTTGTTAGGCTTCATGCCAATTTTCTTTGCGTATAGCATCGAACACACACTGAAAGTTTTCTAACTAAACTGGTACCAGCCAAGAGAAATAACAACTTGAACATTCTTAATTATTTCGATTCATCAGCAGTCTTAATATTTTCTATAAATCAATACTGTCTGTTATATTATAATATTATAATTTATTATGCAAAAGGCATGTGTATCGTTTTAATCATCCTGGACACTAAATAGCTAATTTGAAATTAGCGTTATGTTAGGCTGTTGATGCTCTAATTGGTAGCGATCCATGATCCTGGTAATTTTACAGGAACATTGACCATGTTGTTCCACACTAATCCATTGTCTTCTGTTACTAGTTTCGAAGCTCCAAATCTCAATTTCAATCTCCTCGTAATAAATCGCTGATTTTACAGGTAAACAACTCATATCTGGATTCGTGCAGCATCCGGAGTGTCCATCGCATCGCTTCACGATAATATAAACAGGCTGAATGGTACTCTCTCCAGAATTCTGATGCACGTTTTGCATCAAGTCTTTCAGATTGTACGCTCGAGATTGTGGTTTTTTGCAAACAAACATGTTGGACGCTTTCACTGCATCAGATAACGAAATCCTATTGTTATTTACTGCCGCTGATCGAACCATGTTGTCCAGCATCAACGGGATGAGTATTATTAACTTCAATAGAAAAGTCCTCAATAATCTATTTCTCATGCCTCGTTTCTTCGTTAATTTATTCTGTAATTCTTATTGAATAATCTATATTGTATCACCAAAATTATTTTTATACACACAGTGTAAAATTGAACTCGCTGAAGATTACGTTCATAAATTCAAATCTTATGGCGCGATATTTGACGAACACGTTCGAGATGTGCCTTCTTTAACAAAATTACACGAACCATCAACATGTAGTCGTATCAAGAAACGTCCAACTGAGACTTTCCTGCTGCCAGAAGTGTATTTATACGTAGAAGAGCTTGCACACATACGTAGAAGAGCTTGCACAGATTCATGCACATGTAAAATCCGATATCCTGAAACTCTGCGGTGACATTTACTCATGCATTTCTTCACAACAACTCAAAATATCCTGGTGTGTGGGAACTGTTAGAGTTTCTTCCTTATGCGTCATCAATTCCATCCTTGATCGTGATTCGAAGCTGATATCGAAATTTTAAGTTAAATTCTAAATATACAATTAAATAATAATGTAATAAAATCAATAGTATAATAAGTCATTTTATGAATAAAATCTTCAATTACACATATTGTTCAAACATAAATTCACGTACTGAACTCTTATTTGCCACTCTCAACATATTTGTTAATGCGATCGACTATAAGACTTTCTGATAAGAGGATGTACAGGCTTATATCAAAGTCGAACTTCGACTTTTCTTTTATAGTGATATGTTGCTCAAGCGATCTACACACACATTTGAAACGTTTTATCTACATATTCAACAAATTTTTATCACACAAATAAACGCACACGATATTGTTCACAATTGAATAGATAATCAATGACATAATTAAGATCATATCACTTATGGAAATCAAATTGAAATTAGAAGAGTGCCATAAATTTTCACGTACCAGTAAAATTGATTCATATAGGTGTGATTCATTGAAAATCGAGTTCAATAAATATTTCAGAAGTATCCCGTTATGTTACATGTTTTCCCTGTTAGTCCATAAAAAATCTTTAGTTTATACATTAAAGAAAGACTCTAAGTTACAATGCCTGAGATTTCAAGGATTAACTTTTCTACAGTTCAAGAATTTTTCATAAACGGGATTTCTAGAGTGATGTTTTACGATTTATTGCAAAGGAAGAACTGAAGTAAAGTCATTTTCCCGCAAAGATCACCTTGAGCTATGATTTTAAATTGTTAAATTATTGAAGCGATGCACTCAAAGCTTTTATAGAATGTATTTTAATTTTTGAATGTTTTTTTAAATTTTATATTCACATTGATCTTTCTTGTTTAAAAAAATAACAAAACGCAGATAATTGGAATAAATTTTATATTTAAATTCTAATAAAACAGATGAAATATTAAAATTACCTTCAATGAAAAGATACTACCTATTTTCGACTAATTGTCATACATGCAACGCGTTCCGTCTTACAATTAGTTGATTCAGTAGATGTATTCCTTACGAAAATTTATTTCTTCTTTATATATATTTTATAGAAATACAATTATATTAACTACAAGGAGGATATATTAAGTGTTTTCTATGCGAGATTATGTATAAAAATATATAACTTTTGCTTGTTCGTTCTCGCAAAAGTTATCGAAATGACATAATCATTTTATAACTTATTATGTTATATAATAATATAGATCAATATATGATACGATAATATAGATCAATACAAAAAAACAAACAAGATAAAAAAGAGGCCAAAAATAAAATTTACTTTAAACTCGTGAGCTTATGAATCATTTGTACTTCAGATTCGCTAATAGTTACATGTAAAATAGTAGAAATTGTTTGTATCTTCTTTTGGCAGTTTGCCATACGTTTAATTTTGTCTTAGATTTTTGTCTTATATTCATTTTATTTATTTATTATTAAAATGAATATTATTAATTATGTGTTTTATTAATTTCCATCAATCAATTTTTTGACACAGAAAGAACATCTTTCTTAAAAAATATTAATATGTTTACTACATTATAATTCTTGTTATAAGGGATGTGATTAATAGTAAAAATATGCGTGCAATTTTACGCATTCATTTGACGTAATAGGAATATCCCTCATAGCGCAATAATTGAGCATTTCTATTTCTGGTTTTGCCCAACTATGGTTAATATTATTGCATTTCCAGAAAATGCTTATTCACATTTAATTAAAAGCTTCTAATAATAAATAGAAGCTTCTATTTAATTTTTTCAATTGTTTCTTATTTGTTATCTTTATTAAATATATAAGTAGAATAATTAATAATAAAAAAGTATATAATGAATGGTACGTGCTAGAAGTCACGTAATTCACTAATTAATTATTAATTAAGTTTTAAATGACATTAAAATGATTAACTAAAAATTTTGATTACACAATCTTCTGAAATCTAATAGTTATAAAATGATTGTTCTCAAGACTACTATTAATCAATACACACAAGGTTCCATTAACGGTTCATAGATTCGTTCATGGATTCTTTGCATGTCATTGAGTCTGTTCCATAAATAGCTGTTAACGAATATTCTTGTAACATGAATTTCGATTTGGGCAACCGATAGCTACTCTCACCTTTCATATAGAAACTTTTTCACAAGCGGATATATCGTTAGTTTGACAATTAGTAACATAACAATTTACAGAGCACGCAAAAATGAAAAGGATGTTATGAATAAGTTTTGCAATCAGACACCTCGCAGACAGCTTCAATGACTCACTGCAACCTGCCGCATCATACAACGCATAACATTGCGCAGAGAGGGTCAACGTATTTCATACCATGTGGTTCCACCAAATAGTTCCTCCAATTTAATTATATAAATCTTTTGATATTTAATCATTTCTCTGAATAAAAATTAAACATATTAATATTTACCGACATAAATGAAAATATTACAATTAACAATTAGATTTAAATATCCTTTTTAATTTTTTTAATATTTATATTTATATTGAGAATTTATATTTTTAAATGAGATATGCCAATAAAAATAAAGCCATTGATACTTTTATAAAAATTATTCGAGAGTAAAGAAATTCGAACAAGGTGCATCGATGCACGAAGAAATAATGTTTGAGATGCAACCGGTACACGAAAGAGAAAATCAGAGGGTACATAATAATTTGACTGATGACTGGCCGAAATTTGTCAGATTCAAAGTACAAAAAAGGAAGGAGAAATATGATGAAAGGAGAAAATGAGAGAAAGAATGACTAGTCACGCGACGTAACATGGTCTCAGTTCGAACGGGAGGCAGGACCCACTAGTTGTAATTATAGTTATCTTCACGATGTTCTCGGAACGCTTTGCTTCAAGTCCTCCTCAAGTTTACCGAGAAATGAGAGAGAGACGGTGCAAATCGCCATAGGACGAGAGAAAACAATACGGCCAAAGGTAGATCAACGAAGAAAGATGACGAGAAATCGGTAAAAGAGGGGAGGCAGAGGGCACCGGGCCGAGGATGAAAGTTACATGTATATATAGCGGGAGAAAGAATTCAGATCGCAGAAGAGTGTTAGCAGTTCTCGATCCCGGACAATTGCCAGTGAGATCTATCGAAGCGTGTGTTGATTTTCAAATCAATCTGTTCGTCAAAATATCATTTAATACTAAAAAATAATTGGAAATATGAGAAGATACATCTTACTGTTGATTTTTATTCACCTTGCTCTTGCTACTATTGGTAGACATCATAGGTAAATTATGTTATACGTACTTACATACATGTACAAATTCAAAGTGTATATCAGTCACGTGACTTTGACAGATCGATTAGAATAATGTACTCGATTTTCAGAGATAGCGGATTTCTGAATCATGTACAGCTAGTGCATGAATTTCAGTGTTCCATGCCACAACCAAGAGCTGTACCAGTAGCAGAACTTCTAACTATTGGTCCTAGTCCGGATGAAATTTTTTATCCCGCCTCTACCGTCCTGACACGTTGTGAAGGAGCCGGATGTTGTTCGGATCCGAAACAAATTTGTGCACCTATCGAAACCAGAAACATCAGTCTTGTTTTTATGGTAAAACACATGATTGATCGACAACGTGACAGGCATCACGAAGTGATACATGCTTTGGAACATACAAAATGTGGGTGTGTCGATAAAAGAATTATAAAGTTCGATTGACCGGCTCTATTGAAATTTTTTGTCAAACATTTACGTGTTATCACAAGAATATTACAAGTAGTTACTTAATTTTTCGTTAAAAAATTGAAATATATCAAAATAATATTTATAATCCCGCGTTTACTTTTAGTGTAGGATAAGTTCCTTGATTTAATCATTCTTCAGGATTTTTGACTGTGATATTTTTATAAGTATTACATGTTTTTTTTAAGTAACATATTAATAAACGTTTTTGGAAAACATATTTTTTTCACGTTTAATTTCTTTTCAAATATTTTTTGTTTTTGTATCTGATGCTTTGTTTAAAAAAATAACAAGAAGAAATAGCGTTCCATGAGTTTTTTCAGTTAGCTAAACAATTAATTCACCTACTTGTTAATCTTTTATGTTGAAGTATTGTTTTGCAGCTAACACGTCATGTTTTATACTTTCATTGTTCGGTGTTAATTCTAGAGCAACTTCTAGCTCAGGAATACCATGCTGAGGCGCGGATAATTTACAAAGAGCTGCGCCTCGTCGAGCATGACACCTAGCCCTTGACTCTCGATTGCTTTCGCATTTCGGTTCCATTAGTTCTAGTGCCTGAAAGATAAAATAAATGTTAAATCTTACTTTTAATAAATTACAATTTTAATAACATACTTTAGAACAGTCTTCTACACATCTGTAGTAATTTCCCAATGCATAATGTGCTGCTGACCTATTTACATAGAGGGATGCCATTTTATCACTAATTTTAATACCATACGTGTAAGCGCTTATAGCTGCCAGGTAATTTCCAACTTTGAAGAAATCACTAAAAAAACAAAATAATTTCCAAAAAATTTGTTAGTTTACAATTTATCAACATTCGATTAATACAAAAATGAATTAAACGTACTCTCCTTTATCTTTTAACCATTGCGGATCTCGTTCTTCTGATCGAAGATCTTCCGAGTCAAAACCAATTTTACGTCTTGCTTCCGCTTGTTTTTGCAACCACTGTAATTCAACCAATATTAATACGACCTTTTTTTTTAGATTAATTTAATAATTATAATATTAAAAAATAATACTTCTTGTTCTTCCACATGAGAGCTTTCCCTGGCCGGTGTTGGGAATTTCCGTTCCGAAAATGTAATGTTAATTGTACCCGTTTTTCTCGGCAACGGTACTGACTTCGAAGATTCTTCAAATATGTTATTTCTTTTCAAAATATTACCTTGTATCGCAGCTTTTACAGCTTCTAATCCTGGTCTTCTTTTTTGTTCTTTCTCATAAATCATATCTAAATTCTTTTTATTTATTGCTTTCTTTACATCAGAATTGGAATCAGAATCTTCAGAACAACTGGTATCGTTTTTGTTAATAAGAAAGTCATCTTTCTTTTCTGACATTTTTATTTGAAGATTACTCTCTTGATTTGTATTTACTGATTGTACTTTCATAACTGTTTCTTTATCGATTTCTTTGGATTTAAATTCTTTTATGGTGCCATTACTATTAAATATTTCTTCCTTGGTTATTAGTCGAGATTTTAATCTATTATCATCATCTTTAAACCATTTTAATGGTGGTCTTGTAAAAATGATATAAAAAAGAATTATTAATTATATTAAAAATAATTATTTAAGAAAAAAAAGTTATTTGTTCAAATCCTAACTTGTAAGCTTTTCTGTTTTCTTGTATTTTCCCTTCAATATTAGAAAATAATGGTACTTGAGCTTTTAATCTCCAGTCTTCAAATTCTAGCATTGCTTCTTTCCGCTGTGTATCCCGTATCGCATCTATTTTATTCAATGTAGCTGTATTGACACTGATTTGTTCTTTCACCGCTTCTTTTTGCAAATGTTGACATTTTTCTAAAGCAAATTATGAATCATTGAAAAGTTTGTAATATTATATATACAATTCTTTACATACCACTCTTAAGTTTGATTTTTTCTTCGGCAAGTTTTTGAGCATGTTCCAAAGCTTGAGCACGATAATCTTGTTTAAAATCATTATTAATATCTTGTACTTCAAGACTAGGCCAGTTCAAACTGATGTTTGCTTTACGTAAAGTAATTATTGCTTCTTGTTCTGTCAAAATACATTTACTTTCTTTTTCAACAATATTAGCCCAAAGAAATAATTCTAATATGAATGGTGGAAAACTGATCTGTTATTGAATTAAATATCACATATTATGTTCATATTTGATTGCTATAATTTCAATCATTAAAAATTAAAATTTTTACCTTTACGTAATTATCTATTATGAATAGGTCAACCTTTTTTGGATGGCCTTTCAAAGGTACGTTTAATATAACAAATTCTGAAGTTTGACGCCAAGAAAAATCTTTAATAATTATAGCTGGCATTTTCTGGTTTAACACAATTTTCTATTATGTATAATTCTTACTGTCGAAATGATGCAGATTATCGATCAAACATTTTTCGATATATGGCGCTTTATTTGAATACGTATATTGTTCTAAGCGTGAAAAAATACACCAATATGTAGGATTGTTTCTATATTTACGATCCATTTTAGTACATAAAAAATTTCATTCTAATAATAAGTACATACATGATATATATTACAAATATTAAATATATTTTCAATACTTTATTTATCAGGTAAAAAGAACAAACTACGAATGTATAGTATGAATTATTTTTAATTAAAATGTTTAGGAGTATTTGTTGACAATACTTTTCATAGACATTATTAAAAAGCTGCCATGTATGCATTCTCTGTGTCTTTATCCATGGAACTATCATTTCCTCTCTTGTGAGCAATACTTTAAAATCATTGAAAATGTATGAAAACACTCAGATATTATGTAGTTTTATAGAGGAATATAAGTTTTGGTTCTATAATTACTTTTGGACAAATGGCATTATATCATCATATCTAAGCCATTGTTCGAAAATCAACTATAAAAACTTATTGTAAATCAGTCAGTTTTTATAAAACATCTGCTCCTACGAAATCACAATAGTTATTTAAAAACGAATTGCAGGACGCTTTTTCATGAAAATTTTTAATTCATTGAACACACTTATATCTCAAAACATATTAATGGTTACCCTGAGACGCAAGAATGTCATATTGTGTTGATATTTTTGATGAGTTCCCACAGTTCGTTGTACATAACGACAAAAGTAACAATAAGTGCTTTTGAAATATTGTGATACATTATTAGAAAATGGAGGACCTTCGATAAACGTTTAAGTTAGGAAATTAAGAACTATCTTCTATAAAGATATTATGACACTACAGTTATGCCTCTTGCACGCCTTACATCATAATCATTTTTTGTAGATTACAGTATTAGTGATCGTTCATTGCATATGTACAATATATGTATCAATGTTAAATACTTTGTTTAATTGTTCTATGTAAAAGAAATTATTTTTTTTTCGAGAGAAAAACATTGTACATTGAGAATGGTATAAAGGTAGAACAAAGTACTTAACACTGTACAAAAATTAATGTTATTATAAATAAGTATGCGTACAATAAAGTACGTTTGTCTATACTGTACTCAAGTGAGTCCCATAATTATTTGAATAAACATTTATAATGAACTTTCGTTAGGATACAAATTTAAGTATTAACATATATTAATATGTAATGTATCCATACAACATTCATACATACAGGGACGTCACCTAAAATATGAGAGCTTCTATGATTTTTTTTCATTTATATACGTTATATAATAAAGATAAAATTATAAAGTATCGTATATATGGAATGTTTGAAGTATATAAAACGCTAAACAAATTCATTACATAATTTAAAAATTACCATCGCCTTACATCGTCAATAAAATAGACGTTGTGCGGATTTCTAGTACATAATTCGCAGATTAAATATAATAATACAAATGTCGTTAATTTTTAAAGGAAGAAAAATTTTAATACAAATATGTATATGATAGCATGATAAAAATTGTTTAATACTTTTGACTCTGATTTAAAAAAGCAATAACTTTCTAATTATATAAACTGAGCAAATTTAGTCGCAATAAATATAGATAAATGAAATTATTTTATAATTCGATCATTGGAATTTAACACATTAATACATGCTATATTGATAATTACAAATTCGTTGATATTTCATGATATACATATAATAAAGGACAGTCACTTTTCTTCTAACAATAGTACATTCTAAGGCTCTATTTTACTAGCATTTATATTATTCATTATGAAAAGTTGTTGCATAGTTGATAATAAAAATAAATACAGAAATATTAATAACATGAAACTTTTGCTTTTCTACAAAAGTATACTTACAATTGTAAAAAAAAAATATTAGTTAATCAAAGTTTTATTACAATTTACCTAAATGGCTTGAATTTTATACATACATATCACATGCATACATCTGGCATAGTAGACATGCTTTTACATTCATACACATTCTCTTCCTCAAATTGTATTCATTATTATTATTATAAATAGTAACTAGCAAATACTACAAGAACAATATGAATGTGAAGCAACAAGAATAGAAAAATCATAAATAAATGCAAAAATTTAAAGTTAAAAAATTTATAAGTATAAATAATCAAATTTTAAAATGTCGGATAGTGAGATATCCGATTAAGAACATTTAAGAATATTAGTAAACTGTGTAATAACTGTTTATATATATCAGAGAATTAAATACAGACGGAAGAAGTAAAAATTACAAACATCACTGGAATATCGTACACAAAATTTGAGTATGTCACGAATTTTTTGTGCAGTTATTGCATTTTATAGAGGACATAAGTACATTAATGTACGCACAAACTATTTTTTTCGTGCAGCTTTTTCCGCTTTTCGTCGCATACGTTCTATTTCCTTCCTCTCTTTGCGTTCTCGATCTGCCTGTGCTCTAAGTTCTTTTAATTTACGTTTCAAATGGGATTTCTCATCTCCACAAATACCAAAAGCTTTCAGGTCACGAGACTCAAGTCGTAAAAGATTTCCACCATTAATTCCAGTGTCCAAAAAGCGTGATGCATAACGTTCCAAACCAATCCCTGACAACCACTGACAAACCTAATAGCATTTTTCAAGTACAAATACAATATTTTATAATAAATCTATATAGTAAACATATTTCTTTAAATAAATATATACTTACTTGTTCTTTGGACCAATCGGTGACTGGTGCATTCTGCCAGAAGTGGGATTTCTTGTCACCTAAACCAAAGTCGCTTGGATGAGGAGGCAACCAAACTTCACTCGTATCTAGATCCATAATATTGTTTACACACGGAACGGGTCAAATTATAACAAACAAAATGTGTGAAAAAAGTAAATTTAAAAAAAATAAAAGAAGGGATAAAAATCAATCATTCACTGCTTGCATTGTTCTGCGAATATTAAAAATACCTGTTTTAGACGGACTAGGATCAACAGCAGGTGGGCTCACTGATCCACCAGAAGATAGACTAGAAGGTGAACTACCTGGATGATGCCAAGGTGTGGAACCAACTAAATTTGATGAAGGAATAGTGGCCTTTTTTACTGTACAAATAAATAACTCATTATAAAAAAAAGAAATTACTTTCTATAACATACATATTAGATATGTTATAAGATATATTACCTCTTTGATTAGCTTCATTTACAGCTTGTCGTATTTCTTCCACTAAATGATGAGTAACTAAAGTTGGATCGCTAGAATGTGGATTATTTAAGTCACTAAAATCCCCAGAACTTTCTCTTGACGAAGACATATCATTTCCACCAAGTCGTCTTTCTCTTTCCGCTAAAACTTGTTTTAACTGCTCCGCAAATGATGCTGGTGGTCCAGTTAAATCTACAAAGAATCGATAAAAATTTTATATAAAATTTTATATAGTTTTATAAATATTACATATAAAGAATAACAGAAAAATACTTTTTTGAGATTGTGGCCAACTTTGTTCCGTCATAGCTCTAACTTGTGAACTAATAGTACTATGTTGTCGAATTGTTGTCGGATGTGTAGGTTCCATATGTTTGCTTTTCAATGAACTAATTGAAGAACTGCTGGAATAGGAACTCAAATTTGATTGTTTTGATGTTAAATCATTTGGCGATCTGCTGCTTGTGTCTTGAGAAAGTAATTTAGAAGATGAATCTTCATCAGTATTGTCACCTGATTCATCTAAACCATAATCCTATAATATAAAATTAAAATAAATTATCGATTTTCTGAATTTAGTAACATTGATTATGTACGTACAGAACTGCTGTTGCTAAGGCCACCAGAACGTTTAGGAAGTTGTCGATTTGCAAGACCCCCTCTACTGGCAAGTTCAGCTTTACTTTTTCCAGCAGAATTATCAAGAAGCCGATGAGCAGGTACTGCTCGATCTAATTCTTCTTTGACTGGCAACGGAAGCGGTAACTTTCTTTCGACCGTCGCTGTTTTATCACCATCATCAGGACTACTCAGGTCTGATGTTTCAGTATCAGAAAGCTGACAATTAGTAGACGAGGGGGGAGGGGGTAATTGACGACGCGATAATTGTGGCGTAACAATTCTAGCTGTAGTTCCATCATAAGGCAATCTTACTGGTAACCCGAACCTTCTTTGTGTTTCTGTTAATTCTACCTCCAATGTAATTACCTATAATTGTTTATAATTAATTTTTTATTTTAGACTGTTTTTATTTTTTTAATGATAATTGATAACATACCCTATCTTTCAAACTTTTAACAAGAGCATTATATTCCGTATCTTTCTCTTGTAGTAACTGTTGATAAAACTCGTCTCTAGCAGCAATATCTGTACGTAATTCACGAGCTGCTCTCCTGGCTCGAGCATATTTTTGTTGTAAAGCAGCATTTTGTGCTGTTGCTTGAGAAAGCATTTCCCGTGCCGCTACTAGATCCTGTCTAGCAGTACCCAAAGCTCTTTCAGATTCATGTAGCCGTAAACCAGATTCACGCAATTTTGCTGCATACTCCTCGCTACCAGCTCCACTGTTTTCTAAGTCTACAAGCTACAAATAAAAAATTTTGAATCAAGTTTATTATAAACAACATATACAAAACACATATATATCTAAGATATAGGTTAACATATCTTCAACGAACCATTTTATATTCCTTTATGTTATTTATAATAGCAAATTAGAACATGAAAACTGTATGAAATGATAAAAATCTAAGGGAAATATGCACTAAGCTGCACACAAATTCATAAATATAAGCACGTGATATACAAGCAAAATGCATCAACACAAAAATAAAATAAAATTCTTTATCTTATGCTATTACCTTAGCTTTGAGTTTTTCCACCTCTCCATCTGCTAATGCTAGTTTATACTGACTCTGCAAGCAGTGAACAACGAACACAGTGCATAAGCAACACCAAAATATATTCACGCTAAGATCTATGAGGAAGTGCTTATGGTGTATATAAGATAGCAATATAAAAAATATATATACATATATATGAATTTATATGTCGCATAGTATACAATAATGTTTTATATGAAATTAATAAAAATAAACACAAAATTTTT